TACATTATGTAAAATCTCTACAATTTACAAAAATCTCACGAAGACTGAAATTATTTGCCTAGCTCGGAAATGGAACACACACACAAAAGAAGACAACAAAGATCATTTTCTCATCCTTTAACATTTGTTAACTTGAATACTATCCTTATCTAGATACTTCATTTCGCTGACGATGACAAGGATACCTTGCGATTAACAATTATCTCTGGTTGTTGATTCAAATACTGAGCAACTGTAATAGTCTAAAAATTGAGACGGGATTGGTCATTGATGAACGGTAATGAAGCCTCTGTGTAAAGGGACACGTTAATTTGGTGTCAGAGAGGTGAATTAAAAGGGGTGTTAGCAATGTTACTGCACACTTGAGAATGGATGTTTGGAGTCCGGAACTGTATATTGAAGTCGATGTCCTAATGTCTCGTGTAAGAAAGTGTTTGGTATTGAACACTCGTCTGTTGACTTCATTGTAGGAAAAACTATACTCGCGTAGAAAACCCTATTGAAAAAGAGCATGATTTATCAGATTTATCGTCAAGTATGCAGTGATGTAAAAACAGAACATACATTATTTGGAATTACAAAACAAAATGTAAATATGCTACAGTTTTAATAGTGTTTTTCCTTCCAATTTTGCAATTAAGTGATTTTATGTCTTATTTTGGCATGGTTTAGGAAAAAAATATATTAAACTTGATTTCACGCCTAAAATATTTTGCACCGAACACTGGCCATAAGTGCCGAGTAAGGAACTGAAAATACACTCTACTGGCAAATAATTTACTCCTAAGATTATTGAAAATTTTCAAAAGGCTCTATATAAATCGTCTTTGAACAAACCACCCTCGGGTCACCTTCGACTAAGTATCAGCTTCCAGTGTTTACTGTAGTAGTTGCACAATTTTAGATATTGATTATGCATTGGTTTCGTGTAGTAAGATTTAAATTCCTTTTGTTAAAAATTACATAAGAGAAATTTGAGACAAAGATTAAACAATGTACGTACTAAGACATGAATTTGTACAAATTTTCTGAACCAGGAAGGTGTAATGGAACATTTTCCTTTTCTGAACCAAATAAAACTTGCTTCAATGTTTTAACATATATTCATATATTGTAATTTAAAAACAAACTTATAGAAGCATACAATTACAAGTATTTATACCTAAATAAGATGTAAATAGTTTTCTGAGAATGTATACAGGTGTATGGCTTTATTTTGTTGCAGAATGAGGGGGACATAATGCTTTTTTAAAAAAGTGTTTAAAAAAAAGATACATTGTCAATACATGCAACAATTCAATAATATCGGGGAATTTTTTAATTATGTAAAATTGTGCTTGAATTTTCTTATAAAAAGAGTTCAGAAATTTAGATGCCTTACCATTTGCTGTCTCAAATGTTTTCACCAGCATAATCAGTAAAAGATACCGGTCCATGTTCCTTTTGGAACTCTCTTCGTCTTTTGCATGTCAATTACTGAGGTAACTTTTGAGTCTAAATATATTTCCACCTCAGTGTGTTTAAAATATATAGAACTGTAGTCTTATATTTTTTGCAATGCAAATACAGAAAGAAAGCCTATATGTCAGCTTGATCGAGTTTCTTGTTATCTTCATTTTAACGTCACGAAATAATGAGTATTTCAAGGTTGAATTTTTATTTAAGGTGAAGAAAATTTAAAAACAGGTTCTAACTCCTGTATCACATATACTCTAGGTCCATTCGTTCATTTACATAAAAGGAAGGGATGTACCAAAGCATTTTTCGGTTGTGGGGGATGGGTTTAACAGCAATTAACATGACTTGTTTCTGCAGGTTTCTATAAAAAAGAAATTAATATCGCCGGAAATTATGTTTTAGATTAAAATTGTTTAATTACTCTTTAGCTCACCTGAGCCAAGTTTTAATATATTCATGTCTTAATCGTTAAGGTTTCCAGCATTCTTCAATTTCTTTTCATATTTAGGAAAAAGAAACACTTTTCCAATTTCTACAAAACTTGCAACAAATCATCAGTGCGTGAATGTAATCTAGATTTGTACAAGAAAATGGTCATATCCAAAGGGAAATGACTAAGAGATTTTGAATACTTTGTGGCATATTTAAAACATCTTTTTCTCAAGAAACATTGAGTCAGAAAAAAGACCTCCTGAAGGAAGGGTGGGGTCACTGTAGAAATTAGTATTGAAGTATACGAAAAGGTTGGGGCCACCATAAGTTTTCAATTGTTTACTTGGGAATGTATATGGGGAATCAGGATATTGTTCTTTTTTAAAAACATTTTCTCCAAAGTTGTTAAAAAGAAGAAGCTCCAGTTTTTGAATTTATTCCATAATGAATCTAATATAATCTTCTTGAAAAAGAATAAGAAAACTAAGGTACTTAGAAGCAGCAAATAATAAACATATTTAGTCCAAATTATAAAAACAAAGTAAGCCTTTGAATTGAAATGACAACCCAACAGTACTGACCATAGTAACACCATTCTAACTATCAAAAAATCAGAGGGCTTTGTCACTTGATCACAAATGTGAAAATTGAAAAAAATAATAAAATATAATTTTTTGGAGGTAAGTGTCCTCTGGGAAACTAACATTGTCTAACACGTTGTAAAAATACCTGTTTCAAAGAAAAAATGTAAAAAAAAATTATTTGGTGTGCAAGAATAACTGATATAAAACAAAAATGATATATCTGCATGTATATTTCATTAAAATGTAAATAAATATTACACAACAATAATCAGATTGTAAGTAGACATACAAAATTATAAACATCTAATTAGCAAATCCTCTTTATAGATTAAGCTACAGTTATATGAAACTTCAACAACCTCAATCCCCTTCTTCCATCCTGATGTTTTGGAGGTCCGTATTTGCTCTACTCCTACTTTATAGTGTTTTATGGACCTTTGATCTTTAATACTGTTCGTTATCTCCATAAGTTAATATGAATAAAAAACAAACTACTCGGTATAAAATGTATCTACATAAAGATTATTAATAATCAAGTATTTTCATTAGTAAAAACAAGATGTGTTTGTGAAACACTGATGCCCCCGTATGGCAGGGGTTGAAATTTCTCAAATGTAAGTTAAAATCCAAGGTCAAAGTCAAAAAAAATTATAAAAAAAATGTTGATACCCAAAGAAAGGTCATCTCACAAGGAATACACTCGTGAAATATGAAAGCTTTAGTTCTAACGGTTCAAAAGATATGGTCAAGGTTAATTTTTTTTAACTGGTTCAAACTCTAAGGTCAATTTCAAATAGTAAAACCTTTTGGTATCCAAAGGAAGGTCTTGTCTCAAGGAATATACCTGTGAAATAGGAAAGCTCTAGCACTAACGGTTCAAAGGCGGATCAAACTCTGAGGTAAAATTCAAATATTTTAATACCCAATGAAAAGTTTTGTCACAATAAATACACAGGTGAATTATAAAACTCTAAGCAGTAACTATTCAGAAGTGATTGTTATGGATATTATTTTGAAATTTTTGGTAAAAGTGGGTCAACCTTCAAGGTCAAGGTCACCAGGTTCCAAAAGAAAAGTATTGTCAAAAGGAATACGCCTGTGAAATATTGAGGCCCAATCAAAAGTAATTTATCAGGTTAAAGTTTTTATGTACAAGCAGACAGACGGATGGACAGGACAAAAGCTATAGACTTCCAAATCTTCGATTACGGAGGCATAAAAATAGGGAAGACAGTTCATTTGATATGGAATGGAAATACGGAAATAAAGTAAAAAAAAAACTCAAGCATCCTGGATTTCAACAGAAAAGCGAGGTGGGTAGCTTGGAAGAGGGGTGGTTGACTCAATTTTTCCTGCTCTCTAGTGAATTATACAGTGTTGAAAAGCATTTTGTGTGGTAAAGCAGAACATTACTTAACGAGGCCCGATCTAGTAGAAAATTACAAAAACGGAATGATAAAAAAAATTAATTCTTGGAAAGATACTTGCATGTTTTATGAATAGAAAAATTAAAATGAAATTTTGTTACCTTGCCTTTATTGTAGTGAAATGGGGGCACTGTCAAGATATGGACCATTTTTCGTGTTTTTATACACAATTACATACTATAACTCTTAAATAAACAAAGAAATTTACAAATAAAAAATAATACACGATGAAATTCTTTGTTTTTCACATATATCATGCAATTTTCATTCTTCTTATAAAAAATGAAAAGAAAATTGGAGGTAGCCTTTATTGCAGTGAAAAGGGGGCATGTCAAAACACAAAATTTGGATTTATTCTATCCAACTACGTATTCTATAGGTCGCGATGGGTTTACATAACACCAACAAACAATTGCAATACTGTATTAATTTCTAAAAAATAAATAATTTTTACATTATGAAATAATTTTCTCGACATGCTTTATTTTTCTCTTAGCATGCGACGTTGTTTTACGTGGAAAAAAGGGGTAGTGGGAGCGGGGGGGGGGGGGGTGTAAAGGCGTCAAAATTGCGATTTTTTCTATCATGTAATACATACTAGAAAATTAAAATATTTCGGGGGTTCAATTTAAATGATTTATAGACTTATTAATTTTTTAAAACGGAAGATTATCCATGCATATTTAAGTCTGCAATGAAAAGAGTGTGTATAAACACTTCAACATGTTCAATGAGAAAAAAAATCGTATACTTTAAGTTGCAGTGTTTGTTTTTTAAACTCACAAATTGAAATAAAACGGGATAAAATTAATAAAAGTCTGTACCAAAAAATTGATCCCTCAAAATTAGTTAGGTTCCAAAGTTGTTTATTTATTTAAATATTTAAAAAAAAAATAATAGAAATGCAAGCTTTCAATGCATAGTCTGTAGAGCAACTAGGTAAGCAAGATCAGCGAAACATTTTAGCGCAATTTGACGTCATTTTAATTGTGACGTTATTATGTTCAATTGTGACGGCAGTCAAGGGTATTGTGACGTGCCTGAGTCGACACTGCGTTAAAACGTATGCGCAGATCAAGTAGATCGGGCCTCGTTAACTTGGACCTGCAAAAACCTGACCATCGTGGTGAAATATTAAAAAAATCCTAAAATTTTACAATCAGCTCAACATGAAGGAAACATCAGTCAAAAGTTTTGATTACAGAAAAAAATCTTCTGACACATTAGGGATTGAGTTTACTAATAACCCGATAACAGGTGTCTGCTCAAATCCTTGTCTGGCGTCAGATAACCTGCTTCAACACGGATGAGACGTCCCCAGCTTAAGATGTTTTTTATGAGTGCATGATGTATAAGAACCTGTTGTGAAAAAGTTGGGATCGATTCGATGAAATATCCTTTTCAATAGAACCATGAAGTTAAAGGTTGTATTGTAATGGGTTCATAGGAAAATGTCCAAAAAATGTCTACAGCAATCGAGGATTGTCAGTCAAAGGACTCAATAGTTAAAGAATTATGTTCATTGAGATTCATGCAGTGGCCAAGAGGTGGAATGGTGACTTTGGGAGATCTAGAAGAACTGGGAGTCAAAAAGACATGAACATTTGGTAAACCACTCACTTCAGACTTCTCACTTAACTCTGAAACAACTTTTGTATGATATAAATCATTTTGAATCTTTTCTGAAAACATGGTTTCATCTTTCGGAATGGGAAGGTTAGGATCCCTCGACACGTTGATTGTAGAAACGACCGATTTTCTATACCTGGAAAAAATAATATATCGTTAAAGTAGTTGTTTAATACAATTCAAAGAATAATTCATATCTAAGTAAAAAATACTTGATCATACCGATTCGATTTTTTCAAAACAACTATAATTGTCGTTATAATGACAACCACAAGCAATCCCGTTGTGGCACCAACCATCAGCAAAAGTTTATTGGCGTCTGTGAAAATTCAAATATATTATACGAATCACACATATCTGAAAGTGACAGATTCGTATCTGAGGATAGACGATTTATTTTGAAAATTCCTTAATTGTAAAATACAAGTTTTACATACTGGTGTCAGTCGAGGAATCCGTAGTCATTTGATTCTGGTACAAATTAAAAAAAACCCAGAATATTTCAGACATTTCACAATAAAAAAAAATATCTAAAATTCCATTAACTACACTTTCATAACGTTTTTGTACTCACAAAAGAACTGCAAACAAGCGTTTGAGCGTCACATTTGTTAACCTGTCCATCAAATATTAACATGGTCACGTGACTGCTGTACGTTTTCCCGTCATAGCTGAGTGAGATATTCCATCCGTACACCATTGAGTTTACACCTGCTGCTCTTCTTCGGTGCAGTGACCCAGGAGGTTTGGGTATTTCAGCGGATATCTTATTGAAACTTGAAACTTGTTTATTTAATTAAACGCCTATTTTTACATAAAACGTATTCAATGGCGTTGTACATTAAGAAAATAAAAGATATTTACATATATACATAAATTATACATATTCATAAAGTCCTTTTTTTTTACACATAATACTACATACATACGAAAAATTAAAACAAGGAATTGAAGTCTCTGAAGAAGTAATTTTTTAATTTGTTTTTGAAAATGTCAATTGATCCTGAGTTTTGAACACTGGTTGGCAGTTCATTCCACAGTTTGGGGCCGATGGTACTAAAACTTCTGTCACTAAAGGTTTTTCTCTTATTAAATGGAACATTATAATGACTTTCAGAATTTCTTGAAGAGCGTAAATTGACATTTGATGTTTTTTTCGTTAACAGTTCTTTTAAATACTATGCTTGGCCAACAGAACAATTGTACATGAATGTTAGAATTTTAAAAGATATTCTGCATTTGATTGGTAGCCAATGAAGATCATAAAGGGCTTTCTTAGAACTGTCATATTTTTTGCGGTTCAAAACTAGTTTTGCGCACATATTTTGAATTCTTTGCATTTTGATGATTTCTCCTTGCGATATACCATATAGAATCACATTGCAATAGTCCAAATGGGATATAACTAAAGATAAAACTAAGACTTCTGTTGCTTCGGTCGTTAAATATTTTCGAATACATTTGATTTTTTGGTAATTAAACATAGCTGTGCGGCATTTTTTGTTGACATGATCTTTAAAATTTAAGTTCTCGTCCAGAAAAGCACCTAAATATCGTATACATTTAACAGATTCTGATCTCATTTTCGTTAATGTTTATAGATTTTGTTGTACATTTTTCTAGTTGCCGTTTGCTTCCAAAGAGGATGAATTCTGTTTTTGATGAATTCATTTTAAGCTTGTTTGCATTCATCCAATTGTTAATATCGATAGCACATTCCTCTAGCTCGCGAATGGCGTTAATTTCATTGCGTTTTGACGTTGGGTTAAACCGTTTATTTGCGGTATGGTCGTCTGCAAAGCTATACACCGATATGGTTGAAGGAATGACATCAAATAAGGTCCCTGCGTATGTTAAATAAAGCCAGGGTCCCAGGCAGCTGCCCTGAGGAACGCTGCACTGCAGTTGACGTACCGATGATGTCACGGAGTTAACGCACACCGTGCAGCCACGAGGCCGCAGATAAGAATCTATCCACTTTAATGCCGAACCACATATTCCATACTGTTTTTGAAGTACATTCAGCAAAATTTCGTGATCTACCACACAAATGCAGCACTTAGATCTATTGCAATTAAAGCAGTAACTTCTTGTTTTTCCATCGCGTCAAGAAGGTCATTTACAAGTCGTAGTAGAGCTGTTTCGCATGAATGAAAACGTCTGTATGCAGACTGATTTTTGGGGAGTAGATCATATTTTTCCACGTGCACATTGAGTCTATAAAGAGCTGATTTTTCGATGAGTTTAGAGAGAAACGACAGGTTGCTAACAGGTCTGTAATTTACAACTCGAGTTCCAATCCTACTTTCTTTAACAGGGGTCAAACAATCGCCTGCTTCCAAGTTGAGGGAAATACACCATGCTTCAATGAAAGGTTTACAATTTTTGTAATGTTTTATAAAAGTTCGTTTAGAAAAGATTTTAGAATATTGGTAGGTAGAATGTCCAATTCACAAGATTTGGTTTGTAATTCCATGATCAAATTTGTTACTTCAGCTTGGGAAAGTTCCTGAAATTCGCTAAGTAAGGGTACGTTTTTATGTTTTGGTTCAAAATTTTCGAACGTTTTCAATGATTTTCTAATTTTGTCTATTTTGTCCATGAAAAAGTCGGCGAATTTTTCTGCTAAATCTTTGTCGCTTTTTTTATCTTATTGTAGTGATAGTAAGTTGTGCTTTCTATTTTAAAGTGATTTGTTGTATGGATCACATTATTCTTCACCTTTTAATAGATAAGGCATGTAAATTATACGTACATAATGAAAAAAAACATGTATTCCTGGACATGTACTCCATTTCTTGATATTCTTACCTGAAAGTATTCAAACTTAGCTGTGACATTTTCAACATCGAAAAATCCAAAGATGTTTGTTTTAAGACATTCCCTGGAACTGATATCACACAATCCATTTGAAGGTAGAAGAAAATCTTTTGGGGGAATAGAGAGCTTTCCAGAACAATCGGAACCAAGAAAACCATCAAAACACGAACAAGTGGCTAAAAGAACAAAAACTAAAATTACATTAAACGTGATACTATTTTATTTCTTCATAAAATGAAATTTAGTCAGGGAGATGAAAAGAAATAATCAAGTATATTTCAAGACTTTGTATCATTCAGCAAGTAATCTACCATTTACGCAAACTCCATTTTCAGAACAATTGCCAGGACATAAAAATGATGAGACGTAATCAAAGAGTGTCACTCCATTGGTATCAGACGATTGAATCTCATAAAAAGCTTCGTTTCTCGTTGCTTCTGTCAAACAAGCGCCTTTCAATGTGGCTAATGTATCTTCTATGAAAGTCTTATTTCCAGAAATCTAAATTATGATAAAATAAGATTTTCTCTGAAAAAAATGCTCGTTATTCGTTAAACAAGAGGCCCATGGGCAACATCGCTCACCTGAGAAGCTTTGTCCATTCTGTTCTTTACCAGATTTCCCCCTTGTAATACATAATGCATCCCCACTTTACCCCACTGATCATAATTCAGACATTTTGAAATCTACACTACCCCAGGATCCTTCCATGTGCACATAAGTTTCAGCTTTTCTGGCCCAGTGGTTCCTGAGAAGAAGATTTTCAAAGATTTTTCCTATATATTTCTATGTAAAACTTTGATTCTCCATTGTGGCCCCGCCCTTTCCCTGGGGGTCATGATTTGAACAATTTAGAATCTACACTACCCCAGGATGCTTCTACATAAGTTTCAGCTTTTCTGACCCAGTGGTTCTTGAGAAGAAGATTTTCAAAGATTTTTCCTATATATTTCTATGTATAACTTTGATTCCCCATTGTGGCCCCATCCTTCCCCAGGGGGTCATGATTTGAACAATTTAGAATCTACACTACCCCAGAATGCTTCTACATAAGTTTCAGCTTTTCATGTGCACATAAGTTTCAGCTTTTCTAGCCCAGTGGTTCTTGAGAAGAAGATTTTCAAAGATTTTTCCTATATATTTCTATGTAAAACTTTGATTCTCCATTGTGGCCCCGCCCTTTCCCCGGGGGTCATGATTTGAACAATTTAGAATCTACACTACCCCAGGATGCTTCCACATAAGTTTCAGCTTTTCTGACCCAGTGGTTCTTGAGAAGAAGATTTTCAAAGATTTTTCCTATATATTTCTATGTATAACTTTGATTCCCCATTGTGACCCCGCCATTCCCCAGGGGGTCATGATTTGAACAATTTAGAATCTACACTACCCCAGGATGCTTCTACATAAGTTTCAGCTTTTCTGGCCCAGTGGTTCTTGAGAAGAAGATTTTCAAAGATTTTTCCCTATTTATGTCTATATAAAACTTTGATTCTCCCCTTGTGAGGGGACTTGGCCCTTTATTTAAACAATTTAAATTCCCTTTCACCCAAGGATGCTTTGTACCAAGTTTGGTCAAATTGGCCCAGTGGTTCTTGAGAAGAAGATTTTCGAAAATGTTTCCTATATATCTACTATATAAAACTTTGACGGACCCAAAATGTGATCAGAAAAGCTCACTTGAGCCTTCGGTTCAGGTGAGCTAAAAAACATTCTCTCATATTTAAACCTAAAATTTCAAAATAAATCAAACCACAAATCTTAAACTGTTTTTATTAAGTATATTGCATATAATACCTTAATATCTGCGACACATTCATCAATAAAGGGTACTTTGCTGATGTTGACCAGTTGGTCACAAACATCTACAGCTGGGTCATGGTCAAATCGTTTCGTACAGAATTCTCTTGCCGATGTTTCATCCCAGCCATTCATCCACTGTGCAGCCTTAAATATATTAATAATTCATACAATAATATGTCTTTTCCCTAATATTCTGATTTGTTAAATATATGTATAAAACCTAATGTTTCGTGTTGTAGATGCAGATGTTGTACATGGAATTCTACCTCAATAACAGCTGATTCGTTGTAGTCCGTATCATATGTTAATTCACTCTCTATATCCACATCATCTGTATCTTCTGTTGACCTCATGCGATCAAATGAACTGGAACATGAATCTAAGACCAGAGTGGAGTTACCATCCTCGCATAATTGACTTGGTGACGTCATGTTACAATGAACTGTGTTTGGTAAGGAAAACTGATATGTATCAATTGGCCCTCTCTGTGCGCATGTGCAGTATGTATCACCAGGTTCTGGTTGAACGCCACCATTATACCTTAAATTTCAAAAAAATGAACAGGCTTATTCAATAGTAAAACAGGTTATTTTTCCTTTTAAATTTAATACCACCATTAAATACATACATCCATGATGTGTCCTGATAATATGACGATAGCTTCGAAAATAGGCTAACACCAGAATCCATTGAAATTCTGTAAAAGAGATACGCCCCTGTAATCTTCTGAGTGAAAATATAAGAAAACAATTCAGATCAATGTAATAGTTATGTGTACTACCTCCATGACAGTGCAAATGTGGTAGAGTCAGTGGGGCTGTTGCCGCCTTTCAAGATGAAGTCATCAGATGTATCGCCATTAGTTAATCCACACAAACCTAGGGAAGACTCGATGTCTGACACAGAAGCCCGGATCTTCACACTCCCGATAAAGTTATTCCATGACGAGATGAAGAAGGAGACTTGTGTTCCAGATGGAAAGGTTACCTTTAGGGTAACAAAGATAATAAAATCAAATATTTGGTTGAACAGAAAAGCAAATTCGTTTCGTATATACATCGGGATCTATAACCGCCTACCTCAAAATATGAACTTGTTGTAAGAATGAAATATGTTGAGATAATGAGCAGTTTTAAACAATACAAGATAGGAGCAGAACAAACACGGACCTCCAAAACATCAAAGGTAAAATCAGGTGCCATGGAGGAGTGAGGAATTCGTTCAGTTACATATTTGAATAACATTTTCGAAATATAGAGATGAAGAAATTAAAGTAATCAAGCTCAAAATCATTAAAAAGTACAAACAAGTGTAGATGTATTTTAAGCAAGATGAAATCGTACAACTTTGGTAACTTTAAAAATAATTGATTAAAGGATTTCAACTGACGATGAGCAGGTAGAATTTCAACCAAATTCGACAAAATCCTTATATAATCCATAACATAGTCAGAAGACTTTTTATAGGCTGGATAAAGATATTATTATTATCACTGTACTTACTGTGTAATGCTTTCCAGATTTCACAATTTGGAGATCAGCAGCTTTGCAAAGGCGTTCTTCTTCATATGGAATTGATAGTATTTTGGTATTATGTAACGAAACTATTTCACAAGTCCTGACGATGTAGTAGCTAAACCTATTTCTGACTGCTACTCCACAGTTACAGGTTGCACGCCTTGGGACACATTCAGAATAAATAACATGGACCTAAAGAAATATAGATCGCATCCTTTTTTATTGGGTCCATTAAATTAAAAGCAAATACAGACAGACGGACAGACGGACGGACGACGGACAAAATACTTTATATAACGGTATTCTGCTTAAAAAACGATAAATTATTGATGATAATACTCTTACTTGCGTTACAGATATCATAAGCGATTTTAATTTTTCTAGAAACAACATATAATCGTACTTTACTATTTTAAAAATAAAATTAGCTATAAAATTAGTGTTCGCTATAAATTTTGTAAACTTCACCGTATATGGTAATGTTTTGTGCTGATATAAAACAAATGTTCCAGTTCTCTGGTTTTCCCAGCGCCGCCCATCGAATGTCGTCATATGTGGGTCGTTTGATGATATACATTGACTACCAGTGACCAAAATGTCGCGGTCACCCACTTTAACCTACAAGAAATTTAAAATTCCCAATGTTACCGATAAAAGATTATTATGCTAGACAACATACTTAAAATGTAAAAGCAAGTCAGCATGAAAAATGGAAAAAAAGGCCCATGTATAAATGAAAGAAAAATGGTACTTTAATTCCTCCAATACTGAGATTTTTCCAGATTCCCAGTGGATCCATTGGGTTTCTTGTTGACGCTATGTGTAGATACGTAGTCCTGTCGTTGTAGTTAATCATGCCATCTACATAACCCGTCACATTGATATAAACACTTCTGTTGCCCCAGTCCCTAAAGTTAAACGTCACCCCACAGGGCTGATTTGTCAGGGCTATCCCATTACTAGCCATCCCATTCTTGCAGCTGTCCTCTGATGGCGTCCACACAAAGAAGTAATACGTACAAAAGGCTTCTCGCATTTCTTCACTTAAAGACAGAGGACAACTGAACGGTATAGTACTGGTGAGTTTAATTCGTGATGTAACTCCCTCAACAACGTAGTATTCTGTTTGTTCTGGCTAACATGTAAAAGAGAAATTTTAATTTTTTTTTTAGGAAACGTTTTGCATAAATGATTAATGGTACAATGGTACATAATTTGAAAAAATGTAAAGGAAAATATTCGCCAAAATATGACAGATAAAATGCAAATAATATTGCAAGTGTACCGTAATTCCAGCAAAAAATGTCGGACTCCTTTGCACTGAACCGGACACAGATGCTGATGGGTCGTATGCTCGTACGGCACAGTCGATCTAAGGAATAAAAGAGTGAGCATTTCAATGGAACTTTATAACGTTTATTATTTAAATGATCTCTAACTACTGTTACATCGGTCACTTGAATGTAAAAATTGGCTTTTCATACGATCGGTAAGGCCTTTGTTTTTACTGGAGATGATTAAGGGATGATTATGGAATTTTCCGTCTACTTGATAAATACAAGCCGGATGTGAGCGTTCAACAGGGATGTTTTCTCCCTCTAAGCACCTGGTTCCACCTCTGGATTTTCCGTTTAATTCTCTGTTTGTTTTGGTTATAGATTCTTTTTTTGAAATCGATCTTTGTTTTTTTAAATTCACATTTTCATGACATTTTATTCATCGAAATAATAATCATAAGAGCAATTCAACAGAAACTCTCAGCGCTTTCTTGAAGAATTTTCAAAATATTAAGATAAATTACCTCAAAATTCAGCGAATAGTTTCCTGTCCAGTAAGATGGTCTCAAAGCAGTAGAATTCAGATCAGAAAAAGATACATTGTATGATGCTGTCCACGTCAGTTCATCACCGTTGATAAACCATAACACGTCATAAATGATGTCACCTGCTAGAGGTTGAAATATACATAAAAACACGGGCTCCAAGAAAACGCCGTTCTTTGATTCCATTAAGACTGGTTTAACCACTGGAAATGTTTTCAAAAGGCTATCTGTAAATTTTAATTATAAAAAAAATTAAAGATTTCTTTTGAGACAGGGAGGGAGAGAAAGAGACTTTTCATACTTGTGTCAATTTCAGTTCGACTTTTACTTATTTTTAGCGCATAAAAAGGATACTTATTAATACAATTTTATTTTAAATAAAAATGTCTGTAAATGTGCAGTTAAGTTTATTTTCGTGTATTATTTTATCTGACCATATGTCTGTGTGTTAATACAATTCTCTGTTATCTTTGGACTTTCAGTAAGGCGTGGCATTCTTGACGTCACATAATAAGCTTCTGAAAACACAGTGTCTCGTCACTGTTGAAACATACATGGGATAGAAATTCGGGCGAATGTCAAGGAGTGTAGCAATGATCAAATGACAGCGTTTTGTGCGGCAAAGAGGTGGGTCTGAACGTTGTTAACCACAATTTTAAGTTCCTGATGTTTCTGAATTTCTTTACCAATGAGAATCTATGTCGCCATTTGAGAGACGCTAATTATTTAGCCCGAGAATGCCATGCCTTTCTGAAAGTCCAAGGATGACTGAGAATTGTACTAGGATGTGTTGGGGTATGTATGCGTATGAGTAGATATGATGGTGTATGTTTGTTTGGTAGACAGAGAGAGGGAGGTCTTACCTATACTTGATTCAGAGGTAGTTTGACTTTCAGATGTTTCTGCCACAGCTTAAAAGTAGAAAACGAAAATATCTTCGTAAATATGAACTTGATTTTACACAAAAAGGTGTTTATTGTATATCAAGAAAACTGAAATATTACCCAAGCAGAAATCAGCATTCTCTTTCTTCATATAATATTCCATATTGAAAAAAGTATAAAGGTAAAAGGTTCCACAGTTAAATATCCCTAGTAGACCAGATGGATGTAAATCAACCAATTTCTTTTTATTTGGAGTAGGCATTGTATCTAGAGAAGAAAAATAGAACATTTAATTAAGGTTTGAAATTTCTCCCGACACTATATCCAAGTCCTAGCTCTCTCGAATGGCTGTGGTTAAGGTCAACATCAGTCAAGAAAAAAAATTACCCTTTAAAGATTCTTCGTTGCTTAACGACCCAGACTTCCGAGTAAAGGTCTAAATTTGAATCCCTTCACCGGCCTACGGTTACGTTTCTTATGATGCAGAACGTAAAGATGAAACATATGGAGAGAACGAATAGTATTCAAGATCAAAAGTTCATAGAACAATATAAAATAGGAGCAGAGCAAACACGGACCTCCGAAACATCAGAGGTGGGATCAAGTGCCACGGAGGAGTGAGCATTCACTTCCGAACGATCACACCCGCCGTGTGCTCCTTGTCATGATTGGGAAATAACGGAAAAATCCGTCGTCAATGCAGTCTATAAATATTGGACTAACAATTAGTATGAAAAACGTCAGTCAGCATGTAACTCCATGACAAATTGTATTTGCTGACAAGGTCATTGTATCGACCACAGAATGATGACTTTAAACGAGACTGCTGAAATTCTTGTTTCATCAACATGTTTGTCAATAATTTACCTCGTTTTAGAAATTGTTCACACGTAGAGCATGCTCTTGTTTATCGAATCAACTGAGACATATAAACTGCGTATACAGGTGATGAAGGTATATTGCTGACGTAGAACCAATTTTCTCAAAATATACCTGGGGTAGTTATAATAAAGCGCCTTATAACATACGTTGTTGTTTCAAGCATTGAATTATGAATCAGTCAATCAATCAATCAATAATCATAATCAATCAATCAAGCAATCAATATTCACATACTTACCGTTGATATATAGCGATCCAGGACAGGAACACGGATTTGTTGACAACAACACAGAACTTCCGTTGGATGATACCAATTTAAGATCATAAGTTATATACACACGATAAATAGCTTTAATATCCTCCATTGTAAGACAGGCCTTGTTTTCAGGAACCACGTACTTTGTAAAAGTGTGACAACTTGATTCGCCAATGAAAACACCTGAAATAAAAAAATACTTTGATCATAAGAAATTCCCGTATACATTAGATGTTGCAAATATACAGGAATGCTCACTCCTCCATGGCACCAGATCCCACCTCTGATGTTTTGGAGGTCCGTATTTGCTCGCTCCTATTTTTTGTATTGTTTTATGGACTTTTGATCTTGAATACTGTTCGTTATCTCCATATGTTTCATGGCTTCATATAATAAATAACCAATTTGATTGGAACTCGTTTTGTTCTTTTATTTTAATGTCTCATAAAGGAAGATTCGGGGTACATATGATTTAGTCCTGGCCGCCCGTATATCTGTTTGTTAATCTGTTTGTCCGCAAAAGATATTTTTTCGGAGGTACACATGTACCAACATTTTTTTTATCTTAACGTTTTACTATCTTTTACTAAATGCTAATAAAAATCTTGGCCATACATGTAATTTGAACGGTTAATGCTTAGTTTACATTTATAATCCTTCCCATAAGACGATTCTATTATTTTTTTTTATCTTTTGACCTTGATCATGATATTGACCTATTTAAAAAAATCAACTAACCTTGACCATAACTTGTGAACGGTTGGTGCTAGAGCTTTCCTATATCTTAGGTTTGATTTTTGTGACAATATTTTTCTCTCAATACCATCATTTTTTATTTTTTTGACCTAGGAATCTGACTTGTCTTAAAAAAAGTCTTGAACCTTCGTCATGGGGGCATTAGTATTTTTCAAACACATCCCAAATAAATACTAAACTTTTACGCTATCAAATATTAAGTATTTTTATTACTTTTTGCACGCGCATGCAAACTTTTACATTACAACACAAATCTTCAATATGTGAAGGGTAAGTATCAGAATCCAACAGACATTTATAGCCTTGTTGTTCTGTTCACTGATATATTTTTGTGATAAGAATTTTGTCCAATGATTGGCTGGGAGTTAATATTCTAAACACGAATATGGTTCATAAAATATCTTAATTATCAACCTGCGCAGGTATTGTTTGAGCATGCAAACAATACGCTAGAATTCATTTAAATACCTTTGGTTTATAATTATCAAATGTAATAAAAGAATGACCTTTGAAGACATTCTTTCTTCAGCTTTAAGTTGGAGACCTTAGGACAAGGAAGTTTATGAGAATAATTTTATTCTTAAGTCTGAAATTAATGTACAAAATTCAAAAATCTTAAATATCTTAATAAGTAAAATAATTATGATTAATTATTACATGTAATTAATAACTATTATTTATTCAAAATATAATTCGTACTTAAAAATAGAATTTCAAGTTCTTTCAAGGTATGCCATTATACTAGTTATTCTAAATTTGTTAGCAAATGAAATCTGTTATAAGGCTAGTCGAATATTGAATAACGTTTACTTTGATTATTATATATTATGTTTTTCTGTGTTATTTCATTTTAAGCTGAAACCCATGTATGTAAATATGTTTGGTATAATATATATGTAGGGAGAGGGCGTAATAAGTTTTTATAACTTTTGCCCAATCCCAATTGTAAAGTATATACAATAAAATATGTTCAAATCAATAACGTTTTTCGTCCACATATTAGGCCATTATTTACAAGAATTTTATTTTAAGAATCTTACAGTCTTACAGTTTTGAAAAAACAGAAACAAATTGATTTTAAGAACTGAAATAATTTCGTAGTTCGATGTAAAATAATCCATAAAAGTATAAAGATATATTTTCATGTATAAAAAATTCAGAAATTTGAAGAAATAAGGATAAAAGTTTGTTAAAAAAGACTCACCATTCGTTGATTTAAATAATACAATCAACAAGAACAGTAAAAAATGACGTGACAGAAACTTCAAATGTCCAATGTTTGCGTAGTATTCCATCTTATATGTGAATTTTACTTAAAAAAATAAAACAAAACCACACTGTATGGTCCAGGGAGGCAAAGTTGTTCTTTTTAGTATTTGAAAATCATATTTTACAAAATAACTCCAATAGCTCGTTAGTCCTCTATGATGTTTTTCTTACGCCTAGTCATTTCCCGTTATATTTTTAAAACTAATATTTAAAATCAACTCTCTGGGCCAGTTCCTTTAACAAGTAATGAACTTCACACGCTATTTCTAGAAAAATTGGATTTCTACACACATAATTATACAATTTTACACTTCAATAGCATTCATTTCAGTGTACTTATATGATATTTTTTGTACGATTTTTAGTCACATATAGTAAATTTTCAGTTCATATTACTAAATGGGTCGTTTGACGGACTTGTTTCGTGGTAACTGATAGACCTTGCTTTTTGTACTGGATTTGACTACGGAATGTCTCTTTGATCATTCATAGGGTACATTTGTCCCAGGGTGATGTATAGTGATGCATTGATAAATTTAATTTCGACATATCATCCTTATTGTTTTGCATAAATTTAAAGATAATCAGTTGTTGAGAAGAAGGTTTCTAAGCAATCACTACTTTATTTATTTCCCGAGTAATCTCTCCTTGTTTTAGGGTAACATTGCTATTTTTTGGACAAATGAAAGTCTTTGAGCAAAGAATACTCTGTTATAAATGACAAAAATTAGCCAATGGGTTCTTGAGATATGGCCCTTATTTCAAAAAGTTGACTCACACTGCATAGATGGCCATAGCATTAGTTCTTTGAAGAGCTCATCAAAATGATTCACATAATTGTACATTTTTTTCATTTTCTCAAATTTCATCAAAGTCCAATGCCGTAGTTTATTTATCTTTATTCCATAATTGATCAAATTATCTTCTTATACGACTAAGAGATCTAAGGTTCTTAAAAGCAGCAAATAATAAACATAGTCAGTCCAAATCACAACCACTAAATAAGCATTGAATATTTCCATTTGGTTCATTCCAAATAATAACTGATCAGTCTTGACCAATGTAACATCATTTCAACATTATCTACAATTTGAGGAATTTGGCACTGTATTACAGAGGTCAGAACTGAAAAAAATATTCAACAAAATATTGGATGTTAAGTTAGTGTCTTCTGGTGGAAAACTTAAATTGTACAATATATTGTAAAAATATCTTTCAAAATAAAAAAAGGTAGCTCTATATTCTTCTCTAAAGTACAAGACTAGCTGATAATAAACAAGTATGATATTATATACTAGTATCTGCATGTATATTTCATTAAAAAAAATGTAAATAAATATCATTAAACAATAATCAGGTTGTAAGTAGACATAAAATTTATTTATAAACATCCAATAAGCAAATCCTATCTATATAGATTAAGCTACAGATATATGAAATAAACTTAAACAGCGTTTAACAACCTCAGTCCCCTTCTTCCAACCCAACAACCCAAGGTTCTGCCTGAGGCTTCCACTTCAAGATATAAGTTCCATCTTCTTTCATTTTTGGCCTCAGTGCCAGAACTTCCTCTACTACCTCTTTCTTCAGTACACAGTACACAATCAGAGTGTGTAGCTTGTGACAGTTCCTGGCCAGGTTGACGAGGGCTGTCCCCAGCTCTGGGGAATTCCTTGTTTGTAGAACCACCACCTCCAGTGTGTTCTTATAATAGGACGTAGCCTGGTTAACCTCCTCGTAAATCATAGTAAAGGTCTGCAGATTCAGAACATGGACGGGGATTTCTGGTTTCATGATCTGGGAGACCCGATGCAGTGGACAGGTGTGGTCAAAAGACAGCATCACTTTCAGTTCAGGTAACTTCCTCACCAGCTGTTGCCATGCCTCAGAGGTTAGGTCACTCCCATATTTCTGTTCTCTTCGACAAGAAATTCCAAGTTCTTCCAGTGGAGCTCTTCTGTCTTCTGCCAGGGCCACCAAAGTCTCGTCAGACATACTGCAGTGGAACAAAAACAGCTTTTTCAGCTTCCTGCATTTTCTGACTAATTGCAGTATGGAATCTGGCGATACTTTGCACACTAAGACTTTGTTTAAAATGTTTAGACTCTCCAGGTTTGGATGGTTGGAGGACAATAGGTTAATCACCTCATCATTAAAAGGAACTGGCATTCCATTGAGGTCAACATTGACTAAAGACGTTGAAGCTGCTTCAATGTCTTCAGGATTGCACCCAAATAATTTTTTAAGAGATTGCACAAATTCAGCACCAGCATAAAATAGAGGATTCTCACCCGTAAAGTAGATTTTTATGGAAGAGAGTTTCCTGTTGGGAAAATTAGCAATGCCATTCAAAATATCACAGGCAGCTGATCTGCATTTTGGTTTACTTTGATCAATTTTCATCAGAACATTCTTTAAATGGCTACCATGCATTTCCAGGCACTTCTTGTGTCTACTGATCTGCTTATCACTGTCATCTTGAATGAGAAAAATAAAGTCTGCCCACAGCACAGGGAAATGGAAGCAGTCATTCCAAGACTTACACACAAAGGATGCCTGGAATTTGTCATGGAGGCTCAGGTAAGAAAATATTTTGACAATAATATGGTCAGGTAGAGAACTCCAGGACAGGAAATTTTCCTCCTCTGTGTCCCCCATCATTAACCTGAAAATAAAAAATTATAAATTTATGAAAAAAAAGCTACTTTGACAAAAATATTCTGTTTATGGGCCACATCTGAGTCGCAATAAGTGCTTAGTATCACGAAACAGTTTCAACACTGCTGAAATTCCCCATGAGTCGAATACAGGTATGAATTTGTAGTCCTGCATTTTTAAGCTGTGGTGTTTAAACATTAGGGGGAAAATGAAGACATTAAAAAAAACAAAGTAATAAACAAGCTTATAACACAAACTGTCATTTTTCCCAAATTTGCAAAATAATAATTATGTTAGTCTAGAGTAAGGTCGAGTAGCTTAAATTAAGCAATTAAGCAATATTTGTTGAAACCCTGATCAGTAAACTATAATTCATATGAACAAACAACAAAGACCCTACCTACCTATAATTATTTTACAGCTCGGTTTACCCTTACTGGCTAAGGTAGGCTATAAAGCAGCAGCTGACATTCTTAGACCGAGAGCTGGCAAAGGCTTCCCTCCACCAGGACCTGTCCACTATGTCGTTTAATGGATGTCTCTTTAAGTGTACCTCTCTATACTATAAAAGAGGTGATTTGTAGTATATAAGGTCATATCTCGTTTGTCATTTACAAAATTAGATCTGGGCACCTACGATTAGTCAGCCTGCTCATATTTACCTTGAAAGGAAAAAATATAAACAATGGAACTCTTCAATGTTTGAAGATAAAAATAACCGTATCTTGTTTCACTTTCACATTTACCTCAGGCTCGATCTCGTGAACTGTTAAAAAGAAGGTAATATGAGCAGTCTGGTGCAGTACTCAGATAGTGAGGGTGAGGACTCAGATGATCGTGACGTCACCTCTGTAGATTGTGATCCAAGAAAGCGCAAGCAGTCACCACTTAGTCAAAACAGTGTTGGAAATGTGAAAAAGATCAGGTAAACATCAAATTTTTTTATTTGAAAATTAATCAATTTTTGGCATTTTAATTGATTTTTCAAACTCATTCTATTCTAGACTGATTATGATAATTTTACAATTTGCGTACTTTCTTTCTTTATTGACAATAATATCCTAGCTCTGACATTCCCATTCCAACCACCAAAATAGCCTTATATGTATAAAGTAAAGACTGACAAGACATTTAATGAATTTAATGTTTAAGGCAAATTCACATGACTTAATTAGACTATATAGAGATAAATATAACAATATAAATGTAAAGTTTTCCGTAAACTAAAATAATGGTTGAATATTTAAAAAAAAGATTTTCAACATATTCCATTTTCCTTGACTTTTACATAACATAGTCTATAAATAACACTAACATCAATCTATTCCACACATACCATGATATAACTCTAATTAAAGTTATACAGTCCAGTCCAATACGAAAAATCGTAATATTACTAAAATTCGTAATATAAGCAATTTCTAACTCTTCTAAGAGTTACTTCCCTTTTTATATAAACTTCTTTGTTATGTTTCATCAGAGATATTTCTCTGGTTTCATCATTATGATATCGTGGATATGTATGGTTAGTGCATTTTCTTTTTTTTGCATTTGATCCAAGTGCAAGCGGATTTAGAGCCTAGTGAGAGTCTATGACCTTGCATCTCGTTGTTTGAGATGAGGGTCTGATTTATATGGGTAGACTTCAAAAATATAGGGAATGGATATACACCAAGTGACCAAGAGGATACATGAAATTTTATGGAAAATTGTTCATCCTTGGGAAAATGTTTATATATAATAATAAAACAAAATGTTCACTCACCCATTACCATTGTTACTTTCATCTAACAATTATTATAAAACATTGTCCAAAATAACCACGTGATACTAGTACCATTGGGGCATAATGTATTTCTGACGATACTTCCATAAACATCATTCAGTTTCTTTCAATGCTTTATTTTGTCTTGCATTACGAAAACTCGTAATATAGTCTCTCTCAACTAATATAACACTAACATATTACGAAAAATAGTAATATAAGACACATTACCATATTTTGATATAACGATTTTTCTAATTAAATTTATAGTAGCCCGAGATATGTGCTCTACTTATTTCTTAAAAGATTTGATTTTGTCCTGTTGTCTGTTATTCTTAAAGAGATGTACAAGTATATATACATGCATATATATATTATTTATACATGTATCTGACAGATCCAGTGAAGTCCTTCCTCTGCCAGACACCATAAAATCACTGTTTTCTAATGGAGATAAACATCTAGATAACCCCGAGGAACACGAGGGGAGAACTAGGTCATTTGAACACTTAGAAGGAAACTGGGCCACTCACATCAGTGTTCCATGTGAGTACTATAGTTTGAGTTCAAAGAATTTGGGGGGATTAGGCGAGTCATATGCCTATGCAAGGGCAGGTAAAATATCGAATTTAAAAATTCTTACAAATTCCACTTTTTGTAAAATTTGAGAGTTATTTATAATCCTCTGCATACAGTAAAGATAAAACCTGAATCAAATGACTCAGAAATTGATTGTAATTAACCCACCAAAATGGTAACATGCTTTAGTAACCATAAAAATGATAGAAATTGAATGTTAAAATGTGTTTTTTATATAGAGTGGGTCTTCGTACCATTTTTTGGTAAACAAATATTGAAAGGGTATGGAAGGATGTATCTCTTACCATTTTCAAAAAAATGGTATGAAGACCCACTCTATATAAAAAAGTTAGTTTTCCTACTTAAATTTCGGAAAATATTCTCAAAAACTCAAAGTCCAATTGTGTGCTTGCTATACATATAGAACTGTTTGTTATTTAAAGGGAAATGTATATGTGACTTCGTGGCTCAGTAGTCATAGCGGCGGTGTTGAAGCACCCAGTTATTTGTCGCAAGTGTTCGAATCACGATTTTTTTAAGTTCAGGTTGAAATTTATAGAAAAATATATTTTTTCAATAAAAACAAAGTGAAGAAATAAAATGATAAATTTATCTACAGTCAATTAACAAATTTCCTATAATAAACATGTTTTCACGATGTATAACATTTTGAATGCATTCAGTTCAAGACTACATTGCACAACTGAAATGTAAACAATAATGGATGGACCAGCACGGTATGGCTGTTCCTTATGCAAAAACAGTTAAAAGGAAAGGTAAAGCGTACCATCTCCCAACCCCTGAAAACATATTCTATAGAACAATTAACACGCAGTATGAAAAGCATCACGTTAAAAATACTTTAACGATAACAACAAGGTGTAAAAATGTAGATATTGTCATTTGGACGGTGCTGTACAAAGTTTAAATGTTTAGGTAAACGTATGACTATTCCGATATGCTTACGGAGTGACAAAATCCGTGTGGGCATATGACTCGCCTAATCCCCCCAGATTCTTTAATGCTAATTAAATTTCAATAATTAAGGGTGGAGAATATGGCAGTCAGGCATGTTTGATAAACTGTGTCCAGATAGCTCAGTCTATAAAAAACTTGAGCAGTGACACAAAAGATCTGGATTGGAGTCCTGGTCTAATCCATCACATTTTTCTCCCCTACCTATTACATAAAAGTAAATTACATTTAAGATCTGCAGGTTGTTTGAGCATTGATAATTGCAACGTTCATTTATTTAAGTCAGGCTTCAATTTTTTGATTATTAACAAGTTTGTTCCTTGACTTTGGGGGTAGATTTTTGTGACATGAACCAATTCCGTGAATTTCATTAAAATTATTAGGTTCTGATGTAAGTTAAGAGCTTCTAAAGGAAGGAAATTTTAGCATTTAAACAATCAAATTGTCTCTCATCTCTAGAATAAATGAATTGACAGATCTTTTCTTTTATTCACAAAGTGGCCATACAGTTCCCCTCACACTTTGGGAAAGGAGGGGGTGGGGGGTTGCATCAGCACTCCCAACTGGTCATCTACATGTAATCCCTTTCAAAAGGCCCTCAGGGTGACAAGTAATACCCAAGTTTTGTTTATATCTGTGGTGGATTCCTGGTTTGCCATTGTGTAAAAGAGATGTTTTTAGTATATCTTAACTTTTCTTTTATTATACTTGTTATATAATCATGATCATGCCAGAGACTCATATTCTGTCAAATTTTTGTTTTTGCTAAAATTTAGATGATCCTGATGAAAGAATGAGAGAACTGATTGAAGAATTGCTACTGTGTTTAAGACCACTTGATTTTAAACCAATGAAAGAGCTTCATTTAAGTTTGTCCCGGACTGTTGCTATCCGACACCACTGGATCAAACCTCTGACCGACAGTTTACAGAACAGATTTAGGCCCCTGCAGAGGCAAGTATAACAATACAACATCAATGTCATGACTTGTCATACAGTGACTCATACTCCCCCCCCCCTCCCCCCCCCCAGAATGATATGTTTTGCTAACTATTTTAAAACCATATTGCTCATATTACAGAACTTGCTGTGAATTTTCTTCTGTTAAACTGTACACAAATGATGAAAAGACAAGGTATGCTTTATTTTTGATTCATATAAAATAGCAGTATTGGTCTAATATATTTTTAATCTAAATTAAACATGTACCTAATTTATTGCCTTAGTGATAAATTTGAATAAAGCACTATTATATGATTATATATTTTAAATTAATATACCTGAATAAGCATAGCATGATTTTATGAGGCATTTTAGAAATGTGTTTTTTATGATTTCTGATAAGAGTGTTTTCAAATCAAAGCTCCAGTTACATGTATGTATAGTCATCTTCTGTCTCCTCTTTCAAAATACATTTTATCATTTCAAGTTGTAACAAATCATTCAGTATTTTAGCTCCCATTGATTGATTGCCAAGTGAGCCTTTCTGATCATATGTTGTCCATTGATCCTTTTGTTCAATTATCTGAAAAAAATTCACATTTTTAATTTATTTTCCTGAACCATCTAACCAGTTTAAGCTAAACTTGACACAAAGCATTTATTTGGATGGTAGATTCCAGTTGATCCAAATAGTTATGAATTTCCCTCAGAGCAGCAAAGTAATTTTAGTCACATTGAAATATTGAAGCATCTCCATATCAACTGGTTTCAAGTTCAAGTTTAATTGAACCCTCTGAGGCTTGGTTTAGGACACATAGCGAGGTCCAGCATTTTCTTGGAAATAAAGAAGGGAAAAAATCTCTTAAAAATCCAAAGAATTGGAAAGCAAAGGTGAATCAGACAAACTATGGTAACTCATAGGCATCTTATTTCCTGTTTTAAAAATATCCTCTTTTTCAAAAGAATGTGCAAGAAAACTGAATTCTCTCTACCCATGAATTGTTTAAGACAATTTGTTTATTGACAATGGTCCCATTTATTCTGGCAGAAAAAGTCAAGAGTGATAGCAAATTAAAAAAAACCCCACACATTACTAGTTTAGTGAAATGGTGTACAACTTATTTTAAAAGAAGGTACATTTTGTACTGCATATCTTGGGTGTCCCTCAAGGCCTAATGTTTAAGAAATTCAAATTTTCAATTTCACTGCAGATGCATGTAAAGCTGACATTTAGTCAGAACTATATAGAGAGGATACTTCTAATAAAGGTGACTATGTCTGATATTTGATACTTAGCTACGTTGTATTTTTTGACTATGTCTGATATTTGATACTTAGCTACGTTGTATTTTATGACTATGTCTGATATTTGATACTTAGCTACGTTGTATTTTTTGACTATGTCTGATATTTGATACTTAGCTACGTTGTATTTTTTCCCCAGGACGTTTATATCTCTTGCTGTGTCAGCCCCTGGTAGTATTCTACAGGACTACACAAAAGTTGTTGATGAATGCTTTCAAGAGTACAACCTTCCAAAGTACTACAAGGTATTCAAATATATAGTAGAAATTTGTGCAATAAGATACTCAAAATCAAACAGAGTACATGTATTAGAAAGTTGTTTCCTTATAATAGAAATACTTAATATACTGGTAACTAATTTGTGATTGGATGAAGAAGCTGTCTATTCTCTCTGTTTCAGGATCCATCTTTCCACATCAGCATAGGTTGGTGTTTACATGATGTTATCCCAGAAATTAACAAAGAAACTCTCCAGAAATTACAGGTAGTGAACAAAAACTGGATTCAGTCTGAAAAAATCACATTCTAATAAAAAATACAACAGGCATAAAAATATTTATATCTTAATGATGATATTGATTTTCTGGAAACGTCTATAAATATTCTGTATATTTCTGTCTCCTCTTTATCTTTTAGGAAATACTTGATGTTACATTGGAGGAAAACACAGATCTAAAATTGTTTACAGTTGAAAAAATTATCTGTAAAACTGGAAATAAACAATTTTTGATAGAGTTAAGCAAAGGATATGGATGATGAGATTTTGTGAGAAATAACTAGCTCATGTGAAATGAAATTTGTAGACAGGTGCCTTTTGATTACGGGATGGAATGGAAAATGTGAGAAAGTTATTATACTAGCACTACTTGGTTTATTTATTATGTGATTCCAAGTTATATTAAAAGGTGCAATACATTAATGGTAAGGTTTCTGTTTCATGAAATAGAAGATGGCAGTGTTGTTTGTTATGTGATCTAGAGGGTAGAGTGGTAGCCTTGCTACAAAGAGTATGACTAAATCCAGAGGAAGAAAAAAAATTAACTCTCTTCAAATATGAACTACATTGTATACAACAGAAGATTGTTGTACAGACATAGGCGATGTATAAGATGAATGTAGCAATCTTTATCCAAATAATGTATTAAAAAAAATAAAATATCTTTCTTTGTTTTCAATGCAAAATTGACGGTTGCAACCACTGCAGAAAAACATAGCTTTAAAGCGGGAAGTCTTCTTTAAAGAATTGAAAAATAAAAGTTCGGCTGTCGCCCTAGTTTCAATATTTCTGTCCAGTCTAGCCAAACAACCGTAGTTGGAAGATACGCCAGCAGTTGTGAGGATACTATGCATGAGAGAGGATTCAGTGGCACAACTCTAATTTACTTTTATTGAAAAATCTTGACTTCAAACAGAATTTTATCATACGGAATTATGGTTTGAAGACACACTGCCCCCTCAGCCCTTCTGGTTATGAAATTTTATTCTTACAATACAGAAACATGCTAGTACAGGCCTGTAGAACGCGCCATACTTTTTAAATTTTTCCTTTAGAACCCCCTGGCCCCCAACAACACACACACCTTTGGTCTAGCACTGACAACTTCTAGGATATGGATAGTTAATATTTTTTTTTTTGCTTGTCAGATTATTTTAGAAATTTGACTCCCCCCTAATTTTTTGCTTAGTTAAGTTTTCCCCATTGTCAGATTTCTTGCAACCGCAGCTACGGGCCTGTAATTAAATATGGAAGGGCTTTTCTCTAATTCGCAGATTATGCCATTTCATTTTTTTTTTACATATACGTATCTTTATAGGTTGGTCAATGGAGTATTTTCAAATGTTTTCCCTTCTACCACATACTATTTTAGAAAAATAAAGTTTGGAAGAATTGGATTTATCGTTCATGTATAACTCGACAAATCACGTGACCGGAAAAATAAGACACAAAGGCTGTTAGATAACACACCAACAGCACCGTGAGCACGGATAAATAAGTCTAAGAAAGGACCGGTCTTTTCTTTTTTGTAGAAATTACTGCATTGAAGCCAGGTAAGGAATTATAAACAGGTGGAGTAATACTTTCAAAATGCTTACAGTACAATAACTTTAAACAGATCAAGTCGACGTCAGATGTGTACATGTTAAAAACCAAACACCGAGATCAGCATTTCTTATTGTCTTAGACGGCTCAAGAGTCTGGACACTCATTTTTTGATGTTTTATGTTTATTTATGTCCGTAGTATATACACAGTCGAAATTAAAATACACTTTACTGTATAATTTATGTTAATACACAATAGAATCGACATGAAACGGGTGTTCGATTGGATGATATGCGTGTTTGCTGTCAGTGTGGCGGATCCAGGGGAGAGGAGAGTGAAACTGATGTCCTACAACACGGGCCTGACTTCACGGATTCCGTATTACAAGGAGAGATCTCAGTATATTGCAGAGAAAGTATCACAAAGTAAACCAGACTTTATATGTCTCCAGGAGGTGCGTATTATTACTATCTCATTAAAAGGTCACTACTCACTACTAGTCTGTATGTGTGATTTAGTAAAATAGCTCTGTCTGAGATGATTGTAATAATTACTCCAAAACATACGAACACAGACGCAGGGAAACGGTTTCTTCAATTTGTATTAATCAAGTGTACAGCAATCGAGTATACAGCTCGAACACTTAATCAAGTATACAGCTTGAACGTTTGTACATACGTTACTTGCTATTTTTTTGCAAGCAAAAATTTTCAGTCCACTCCGCTCTCTACAAACAAGTGGAGAGCAGAGTAAGCTAAAATCTCTCGGCTTTTAATGATGTATACTTTTTCTATATATTTCACAGGTTTGGCATTATCGAGATCTGTTTAAAATTGTGAAAGAAAATAGCGCCACCTACCCGTATTCATTTAGTGCTATCCATAATGATACCACCGGCTTGCTGAACAGCAATGGTCTACACTGGCCAGCTTGTGCTCGAAGTGACGTCATCCAAATGTTCTTTAAAATGTGGTGGTACGGTAAGTTGGTTATACATGTATATTAGATAAAAAGGCTTCCATCAAACAACCGATTTAATTACAATTAAAGGCGTATGTAAGCGCTCCATGATTGAAAAATGAAACTATTAGACTATATAAAAAGTTAATTTAATCATCAAACAGGTTGTATGTCCTTAAAAGGAGAGATAGCCCGATTGAACTGCGTAACTGAGAAGGCTGGGTTCATGGACCTACGTCAGCCGTGCATCACGTGTATCACGATGAGCTCCTTCACGGCGCGGACCGCCTTCAGCGACTGTCTGGGCGCTGTCGAGAACCAGATGAACGTCCCAGGGCTGCTGGTTCTCAGCAAGCGGAAATTACGTCATCACAAAATGGTTTACTTCCGACCCAATGTGAAGCAGATCTTACCGCGAGGTTATCTTATGGTTGAGGCGAGTTTCATTTAACACCTCTAGCGGTATTTCATGGTTTTAGGTTCACGTTACGAATAAAAATATACGTACTCTTCACAATTTCTCTGTTTCTGTAGGTTTGGGGACTTGGTATGGTTGCATGCACACATACAACTGCTGATTTAGGCAAGATATACTATGAACGTAAGTACAGGTACACGGAGTTATAATGCATATTTCATAGATTGATTTTCAAAATAATACTGCAAATTAAGTATTGCAATGAAATCACAGACTTATGATTAATGTAATGCGTGGCGGTCAGACTGGTACAATCGCCGGTGGTCAAGTGGCTCAGCTGATGTAGAGCCTGGCTGGGTTCAGCGGGCCCGGGTTCGAGTCATCCTCATAGTCTGTCGCATTTTTCTCCTCCTCGGCTATAATTGGTGCCGTTATTTCCTTCTGATTTCAGCGAATCTGAAATCCAAATTTCACAGCTGGAAAGAAGAAAACATGAAGGACGCCAGGATTCTTATGAGAGACTTGTCTTCCTTTGCATCTTCTATCATCATGGGGGACCTTAACACTAGCCCTTCTATTCCGAGCAAACAGATTCAGGGAGATTTTGAGGGTAAGCCACTACAGGTCTACAGGATTTCAATGAAGTGATCTTGATTTTACATTCATACCATCGTAAAACTTAGATTTTTGCAAGTAGAGAATGGAGGTCTCTAAATATGACTTTTCACTTCAATTTGATTTAACATTTCAAATACATCAGCCTTAATTTCCATAAATAATACATTCCCCCTCTTTTATTTTAAAATTTATTGTATATAATTGTTTCCATAAGAATTTAGATTTGAGGATACACGTATCTTTTCTCTTCTCAGAGACTTTGGAACTATTTAAGTCTGCTAATTATTCCACGCCGTACATTGACCTCTGTGGGCTGTGTACGTTTTGTTCTGGGAACAATCTGGTGCCTTATAAAACAGACTGGATTCTGGATCATATCTTACTCAGAGGCCCGAGAGCGGAACAGGCTCAGGTAAGGTTTATACTGGCACTAACGTAAAAGGGGGCTATCATACAAAAAAGGGGACTATCATTGATAGAAAAGGATTTTTAAATAGGCCTACTTTTTACTACACATTGTATGGCTTAGTAGAGAGTAAAATATTTGTGTAATAGAATTCTTTTTATGATCAAAGACACAAGTGTCTTATTAAATGCATCCACACATATACATCACAAATTCTGCATATAAAAAAAAATCTTTCCGGAACCAATGTGGTTTTAGGTGAAAATAAAAAAAATACTGTCTGTCTCATAGAATTCTTAGTTTAGCTCCTTTTCAAATAAAAATTGCTTTTAATGTTCTTAATCAGCATATTTTAGTCGAGCATGAAAAGAAATGATATTTTTATTCAAATTATCAATCATCTATTTTTAAAGTTTTTTGACATTTGTAGAGGGTGATGGAGCACCTACTACCTGACCAGTCTGTCAGTCCCTCCGACCATTACGGGATCCAAGTCGTGGTCAGTGTCGCCGACAAGGGACCGGGCCTGTAACGATCACCAGAATTAAATAAATTATATAACACACATCTGGTATTTTCTTTATGAGGTACTCAGTCAAGGCATGCGATGTACTGATTCTGCCTGATTTGATCAATATTATTCTAGAGGGTACAGAGTTTCATAGGACATTATTTAAAATTCACCATTCCTTTTACTAGTAAAGAGATGAATAAAGAAGATGGTTTTTTTTTTTCGTTTATTTAACGTCCCACCGAGAATTTTTCACTCGTATTGAGGCGCCAACAATTGCACAAAGGGCTTTTGAGTAGTGAATGACATTTTTTATGCCAGCATCCTCTGTTACATGGGACCTCGGTTTAGACGTCTTTTCCTAAGAACTGATCTTACAGTCCAGCAGATTTAAACTCGCCACGTAAGGATCAACTCAAGTCGAATTTTAGTGCTAGTAAATATCATTATTTAAGTCAACATCATTGAAAATTCAATGTTCCTACATTCATGGAGTGGAAAGGTATTCTTTTTTACAAAACTGTTTCCAAGAATTCTAAGTAATTTATAGAACTATATTTTTCATGCAGGTGTTTTCATTTTTTTTCTCTATCAATAATATTGATAAGCGAAACTATTAGATCCACATCAAGTAATCATAAAAAGATAATTTATATTACATTTTTTTTCAATATAAAAAAAAACCCCAAAGAAACCCCATATCTGGACGAAGGAGTATCTTTTATTTTATGAAATTCGCAATGAAACGTATTGACAATTTTGTGAAAACTGACAATATTTTTTTTCCCCAAACTTGTAAATAACAGCAATATTGACATGATATAAAATCTTATTTGGAAAATGTGATGAACACAGGATTTAACACTGTATGAAAACCTTGTGGCAAACTTGTAATCCTTTTTCGGTGTTTTTATGTTGACAGACTGTAAGCTTCTAATCCAAATATTTAGAGATTAAACAAGATATAGATAATGTGACCTTGCAAAGTTAGAAGATTTATAGAAATGCAGAAACTGGTCGTTTGAGAAAATAGTTCTAGAAGTTCTGCTTAAAAACTGTGTTAAATACCTGTTAAGAGGATATGGCTCTATTCTTTGGTTTCATTTTGCCTGGGGAGGGGTTAACAAGAACAGATCAAGAGGTGGAGACGCGGCTCAAAATTTTATGTGGAAAAAATAAATCGAAACATTCTTTAAAATAATTCATTATAATTCATACTATTCTTTATCTTCTCTGCTACAGGTATCCGATCAGTTCATAAGCGATATGGCACATTTTATTTTATCGAAGAATTCTACAATTGTGATTTTATTTGATAAAATAAAATATAATATGCCAGAAAGGACATCTGTTGTTTACGATCGCATCGCTGTTGTCAAATTACATGTATCCTGTTAAAAAGTGTTTTGAGGCTGAAGAATTCTAAACACTTTAAGCTCGTATCTACAAAAAACCCTCATTAAAACCCGATAAACTATACTGTTAAAATAAAAGAGAAATGCATAATAGGAAGAATACCCCGAAAAAAATGAAATAGTTTAGTCACAATTTTTTTAACCAAATCTCACTAACAAAAAGACTTGATTTTGCAAACTGTTGAAAGCTGGTCTTTTAATACTTTTTTGCTTGATTCATATCCACATTCCTCAGGTACTAAAGATTTATCGAAAGCTGGGGCTCTCGATTTTTTTTAATATTGGTTTTTCCAATAATGGACGCTGAATGTTGCATCTGAATGATGCTATTACAAAAAGGAAATTGGGTAAGGGGAAGACCGTGTTCACTGTATCACTACAATGTCAAGGAGTTTTAATGTTGCACAAAGCACCATATCTAACGTGTGTCATACACTTAAACAGAAACAAATAACAGGGTACAAGAAATGACCATGAAAATGGCAGACCATGCGTCACTGAATTACTAGTTGGTAAGTTTATAACATGTTATTGTACTATGTATGTAATTGATAAATACAATGTTGTACTTATGGTGCTTATGGGATGTATGTCCCACGGAATAAAGAACTGAACTGAATCGCTTCTGTGGTTCGCAGAATTGTTATGATTATAATTTCACATTAATGATGTCATCTGCACCAATTATCTATCCATGAACTGTACAGAATAGCATAAAAGACGGTTTTCAATTAGCCATAGTAAACTGAAATTAAAGCATCTTATGGAACGCCGTCACTGCCTTATAGCAGAACACTACTATAGCATTGTGTCAACCTTCCATTACATTATGTCAACTCTTTATGACATAAACCCACAATACTATTGCATTATGTGAACCTTCCATTATATTATGTCAACTCTTTATGACATTAACCCACAATACTATTGCATTATGTGAACCTTCCATTATATTATGTCAACTCTTTATGACATTAAACCACACTACTATTGCATTGTGTCAACCTTCCATTACATTATGTCAACTCCTTATGACATTAACCCACACTACTATTGCATTGTGTTAACTTTCCTTTACATTATGTCAACTCTATATGACATTTACACATACTACAATTATATTTCGTCAACTTGCATTTCGTTATGTTTACTTTTCATGAGATCTTAGTTTTTATTAACTGATGTGAAAAGCTCATGCCATACTGTGCGCACTCTTCTACATTATGTCGATTCACTATTACGTTATGCGAACACGGGTATCCTCGGCCTTTATATGAGCACAACGTATTTTCCGCGTTCCGCAAGCACTAAAAATGGCGGGAGAGAAAACTGTCGTAGAAGAGATTCTCAGCGATTTGGGAATGACATCTTTAAATGAAAACTTTAAGCGACAAATGATTGACAATCTTGAAACGTGCAAAGCCTTAACACTGCGACTGTGAATTAAAGTCACGTCGAAATTCAATGGTATTTACTTTAATCTCATAATTAAATAAATCAAATATTATGAGTCGTGCAGCAATCATTTTTTTTCTTTTTCTTTTGAATTTTTTTAAATAAAAGTCTTAAAGGAGATGGGTGAACATGACGAGAGATAAGCCCATAGCGCGACAAACATGAAGGTGAAAAATTAAATCTCAATTTTATCAAAATTTTCCTTAATATTTCATCTAACATTAAAGTATACTTTATGTAAAATCTGAACAACTTGCACAAATCTCATGAAAATTGAAGTTATTTGCCTATGAAATATTATACACACACGAAAGAGGACAAAACGAGTCATTTTTTCACACTGTAACACTATTTTTCGTTATGAGTGGGCCTTCTCTCCATTTTTTTGAAAGGTAATTCTCAAAGTTTGCATAAAAACATACATATTTTGGTTTCCAAAATTACGGTGCAATGACCCACTTAAAAATATAAGTTTATGACATAACTTTGGTATCTTTTCGAGAAATACTTGAAGTCCCTTAAGTCAATGGTCATATCACAAACATGATTTAAATGCCACACTTCATCAGGACTTGTGTAGCATATTGGTTAACTTGCTAGTCTCAAAAGAGAATGCAACTCAGGATTTTTATTGCCAGGGTTCGAACCCAATGGATACCAAATTATTTTTCTTTATAAAAGAATAAATTTTAGCGAAAAATTTTCCTCAAAACTTTTTGTTTATCATGATTTTACAAAAATCAATGATGATAACTTTACTCTAAATACTAAAATCAAAATTTGAATATGATTTATATATATCTGAAGCTTGTGGGTTTTTTGCACGCTAAGTTCACCCATCTCCTTTGAAGGACATTGCATTAGTCTACAATAAGCTTAGCTGAATTAAGTTGAAAACTTTTTTCTATAAAACTATAAAGCCTGAGAGCTTCTCCGCTTTCCGTCCTTGGTCTCCAACCATATACCGCCCCCTTCCTTGTTCAAGATTCCCATATCTGCCACTGATATGTGCCCATGCATGCTTACTAAGGCATATTCAATTGATTTAGATGAGCGACTGGTAGATTTTTGTAATAGAATACTGACCCTGGAATGATTAAAAAAATACTAACTCCAGTGACGTAGCATCTTTTTTTGAAAGAGGAGGTCAGCCAGAAAAAAAATCATTTACCCGAAAAAACTTGACAAGCCAAGAAAAAAAAAAGTTTAAGCCCGAAAATCCTGTTTCGGGGAGAGGGGTCCAACTTCCAGATAAGTCCTATTTTTTTCCAGATATATTACATTACCCTTAGGGCTTATACTTCAACAAAAAGTGGGGGTGGGGGTGGGGGGCTGTACAGTTTCAATGAACATTACATTTTCTATAGTAAAGTTATTTCTGGGAAAAGAGGGGGGTTGATATTATGTGCCTGTAATTTGTCCTAATCAATCAGGAACCCCCCCTCCTTTCTTACCAGTCATTAAAACACGGTCGTCAACATTCATTATATACTAGATATACAGCTTTGAGATAATGTAAATGTTTTTTAACATCAGGTAATGAACTTTTGGAATCAACATGATAAAGAGTTAACACAATATAAAGATATTTTTAAATCACATAAGAAAGAGTTGACATAACGTAATTGTATATCCACATCACGGAATGGAGTTTTGACATAATGTAATAAAGTATTGATGTAATATAAAGATATGTTCACATTATGTTACACACTTTTTACACCACGTAATAAAGCACTGACATAAAGGTACGATGTGTTCACCTCACATCATGATGCCCTCGCCGTAAAATAAAGATACATCCATATCACGTAGTAATGCTTTGATATAATAGAAATATACACTCTCAAAAAGGAATGGGCTTTTGACTTCATGTAATGATAAGTTTAATTATAAAACACAATTTACTTGACGTAATGCAATTTTGACCTCACATATTTAAGAAATGAAATGATGTACAAAAAAATTCATATCATGCAATAAAGTTTTAACACAATGTAAACACATTATCACTTCACATAATGAATTTTTTACTTCAAGTTATGAAGTGCTGACATAATGAAAGGATGTATTTACGTCATGTAATGCAGCATTGACATGATGTTAAGATATATTTACATCATCTCATAAAAAATGGACATAACGTAAAGATATGTTCACATCACGTAATGATAAATTGACATAATAAATGCATAGTTGTATGCTATAAGGCAGTGATGGCGTTCCACAGCATCTTATTTATGCCATGGTTCTGTCACATACCGCACAAACTGACTTCAACGTTCTCAGATTAAGAGAATATGGTCACAACAACGCTGCTGATTTGATTTAGGCCTACAGCAAAGCCTGAAGCTAGAGCCAGAGAGCATAAGCTACGTAATGAACGTTTAACAGATATCTGCCTCCAGGACGTGGATAGATATGGTGGTGATTGAGGTGTAGGGAATTGAAAAAAAATTCCTGCGTTTAGGACAAGTATAGGACTGATTGGGAAATTTCCGGTTGATACTCAAGAGGTGTCCTACTTGCACGTCTTTTTAGCAACTCAGCATTCTTGAGCCATATTTCCAGTTAACATTACAGAAATATATGGAGATAACAATCGGTATTTAAGATCAAAGTCTATCAAACAAAACAAAATAGAAGCAGAGCAAAAACGGACGTCCAAAATATCAGAGGTAGGATCAGGTGCCATGGAGGAGGGGGCATCCCTGCCGACCGGTCACACCCGCCATGTGCTCCTTGTCATGATCAGGAAATAACGGACCAATCCGTTGTCAATTCAGTTTAAAATAATGGGCTAACAATAAGCATGAAAAACGCCAGTCGGCATTTGACTCAATGATAAATTGTATTTGCTGACAAGGTCATTGTATCGACCATGGAACTTACGAAATGATCGAAATGATGACTTCAAAAGAGACTTGACATTTTTGTTTCATCAAGTTGTTTGTTAATAATCGACCTGTTTTAGGTTTTGTACATACGTAGAGTATGCTCTTGCATTTCGAATCAGCTGAGAGATATAAACTCCGTGTGCAGGTGATGAAGGTATATTGCTACTATACTCGTACATAAGCAAGGAAAGTTGACGATTGAAAACTTAAATTCATCACGTTTGTCATAGAGCTTGGTTGTTAGATTACCATTTACGTCATTTTTCAAGTAAAATATCCAAATATGAAACATATGTCAGACTGTGTTGTATCTTTTATCACAAGCTCACCAGGATATATCGTATCAGCATAAGAATGGAGATAACCATTGTTAACTGGCAATACGTCGTAGATATATCTAAATGTTGAGTTGAGGGCCACGGCAAGTGTTTTCTTCCTTTCACGTATAAGATTTTGGACAAATTCTGCTTCATATGAATAGAAAAATAGGTCCGTTAGTTAACACCGAGGCCCAATTGGAACCCTAAGGAATAGATTGTTGGGAGACCTGGTCACCAAAACCACAGATATTGTCAATCAGAACTTCAAGCATCTTTTTGATGTCACCTTGTGTGTACAATCAGAATGTTTACTAACAAATAAATTTGCAAATGACCAATGACCAGGTAAGTAAATCTACAAGTCCCATTTCTATTGAAAAAGCAGCTGTCAATGATATCAAAAAGCCTAGCCTTTAATTTATCGTGAAGAATGGTTGTGTATAATGTTGAAAAGTTTTTACGCTATTAATTTTTGTAAAATCTTATGATTTCAATTTGTGCAAAAGTTCTTTGAAATTTTTAGGTATCCACGTCTGATTTACACTGGTCCACTTCTCGAATATATTGTTGCACATTACTCTTGAAGTTTCTTCTTCACTGCTGTAAATATCTAAGACAGGAGTAAAGAAAGAGACTTAGTTGAACATTTACTGGAACCCGCTATGCATCTTTGTTTGCAAGGAATTTTATGAAGTATCGGAATCCAATATAGACATGGTGATTCAAATTCATTTTGGTTGTTAGGGATATTAAAAGTATTCGAAACTAACAAATTATTTTTAATGTCTTCCTCACAAAGGAAACTATGAATATAAGTTGGATCACCAACAGTAGAATTAAATCCAAGTTCTTCTAAAATACAATTTATATATATAATGAGCCTTACAAAGGAAGACAATGTTATTTACTGCTTTTTTCAGCAGGGACCAATACATACTGATCTGTAATCTATCTAATTCTTTTTTCACTTTAACCAAAAAAGAAGAATCTCTGAGATGTCCACCACACACCGTAATATCAGAAATACTTCTTTGACCAGAAATCCATATTCTTCCTTTAAGTTTTATCTAAATAAGATATTTTGAAATGTTTTTTAATGTTTTTAAAAATAAAATATGCATGAAACATCTGGAGATAACGAACAGCAATATTCAAGATCAAAAGTCCATAAAACAAAACAGAATAGGAGCAGACCAAACACGGACCTCCTAAACATCAGAGATGGGATCAGGTGCCATGGAGGAGTGAGCACCCCCTGCTGACCTGTCACACCCGTCATGTGCTCCTTGTCATGATCGAGAAATAACGAAAAAATCCGTTGTCAATTCGGTTTATAAATAATTTGCTAACAAGGTCATTGTACTGACCATAAAACTTACGAAATGATGACTTTAAACGAGACCTTTGATATTCTTTTTTCATCGTTTGTCAAAAACTTACCTCGTTTTAGAAATTGTTCATACGTAGAGCATGTTCTTGCGTATCGAATCAAGTGAGATATATAAACTCCGTATGTAGGTGATAAAGATACATTGTATTTTGCTGCATTAGTGAAGGAAGTTGACGATAGAATAGTTAAAGTCATCACGTTTAACACAGAACTTTATTATAAGAATACCATTAACGTCTTTTTCAAGTAAAATATCTAAATATAAAACAGATGTGTCAGACTAAAAGAAAAAAAAAAGAATAATCAGCTTATGATTGATATTTAGATAAAAATTTCGAATCTGGAGGTGTGACAGAGTAGGAAATAAATTTCATCCTTAAACCTAAAAAGTAGTATATGTTACCATGTATTATAATTTGCATGAAGTGTTTACAAATTGAAGCATTAACAACCCAAGTTTGCCCTTTGTTTTACATTAACATTTTCCCCAAATTTATTTTTCTTTTGTCCGAGTTTATCTTCATAAAAGTCCATTAATATCAGACCAGTAGTCACACTTTATTTATCCTGAATTGCTGTGTAGGTAATCTCAATGTAGGTTTCGGTCTATCAATCACAGAATTTGGTTTATAAATCTACATCAAGTGAGAGTCCCTGGTTCAGTGTCGCACGAACGAGATGGCTGTCAATGTTCCTGGCCTTATAGCAGTTATTATTTTTTACCTGTTAATTCTCGTCCTCGGACTATGGGCAGCGAGGAAAACCAAAGGGGAAACAAACAGTGAAAATGTGATGCTGGCCAATCGGAATATCAGTCTATTTGTGGGGGTCTTCACCATGACGGGTTAGATTCTCAGATTTCTTAACATTAAAATTGTGTTAATATTACTCGAATGATTTAATTACATAGTATAGTGGTTAATTGAATTATGTTCATTAATAAAAAGAGATTATGTTTTATCCTGTCATATAATTTCTCGCCTGGTCTTCTAAGAATAATCTACTCACCCGATGATGATGTGCACGCATGCGCATGCAATAAATGATATTATGACAATATTCAAGTATACGGCATGTCAAATGTTGCAGTCTTTTCCCTAAATATTGTATAATTTTCCATTTGCATTTTGTGATTGTCATTGCATATTTTTACATGCTATACAAATAGTTACAATTTTCATATGTTTAAATGAAATATAGAAAATATATGTGATTCATAAGCACGAAAGCATATGTTCGCAAATGTTACTGCCTCTGAATTGACTGTCGAAAAAAGACACAATTTTCTACGATATTCTTTAAAAAAAAAAACCAATCAGACCTAACAGTAATTAAGTAGATGTCGCTGATGATTACAAATGGTTACATAAGTAGCATAAAAACTACCTTTATAGGCCCTGAAAGTGAACTTATTTCCATATATATATTGAAAAGTAGATTGTATAGGATATTTTTAGCCTCGAGTGCGCAATTTATCCAGGAAATATTTTGGAATGTTAAGTGTAAGCATATATTGGCTTAATACTAGTATATTATATTAATATTATATATTATATTGGCTTATATTATAAACAAAATAAAAAGGTCATCAAACATTATTATTGAGGGGGCACCACGTATATAAGGTAACTGTGTTTTCTGTAGTATTTCTACATATCGGCATAATTCCCCCCCGGCACCTACGGCCATGATAGGGTCAATCTAAGGTCATATCGGGAAAAGTAAGATAAAAAAAATCAAAGAGTAAATATCAATACTTTTAGGTTATTTTAATGTTATACACTGACACCTTTTAATTTTCTATGAATATGTTTTTCCATCAATTAATAAATCAATATTTTTTTCTTAGAGGCAACAGGATTTGTCCTTGAATTTGTTTACAAAAATACTGTTCAGTTTATTATTTTACTTCACTCGCTTACCTAAAGGCTCGATAGGATTACATTTTTTGTACGTTAGGGATAACTCTAACAATTTTTTCTTCCAAATTTCAAATATAGATTGCACTTTCACCACAAAAGTTATATCCGTTTAGTTAAATAACGTTAAATGTTTGGCCAAAATACAAATAAGTGGAAAAAAAAATGAGAAAAGTAACTTTACACTTTTATAGAGAAATATGAGGGTTGTCCCCCCCCCAAAAAAAAATCCCGCGAACTTTCAAAATAATGTCTTAAAATTAAAAAGTTTTTTGCAAATTGTCGGGAATTTCGTCAAAGAGGTCGGCACACAGCATTTTTTCACATTTCATGTAGATTGTTAGCACGGATGCTCATGCTGTTATCGAAGTAAATGGAAATATAATCTGACAAAATTTCCATCGGCAAAAATGTGATGTGAACGTATATAGTACTAGTAAGTTTTACATGATAAATGGAGAATTTATGACGGTATTCGATCGACACGTTTTTCATCATCTGAATCAGCACTTATTAGTCCGTTGTTCTTTAGAAAACTGTAGTTGTATATTGAACAAAATATTGTCATTTTAAAGAAGAGCCGGCAAAACTGCGCTCACACTTAATACATTTGACTCCGATTGACCTGTTGAATAACGGGTATTACAGTTCATCACGTGACGTCCATCTGCAGGTGTACTCGTGAAAAGAATTTCATTGTATTTTTTAACCTGACCCCAGGGCGAATTCATAGAATACAGTATAATATCTTAAACAAAGCAATGACTGGGCGAATTTAAAAGTGTGAAGGGGTGAAAATAACACGGAGCGAAAATAACCCTGTATACAGTATAGTCCTGCTGGACACATTATTACTGGCGACGTAAATATAGCTAATAATGAGGACCTTAGATCAATAATTTTAAAAGGTCCCAAATATAGGGAACCTTGATCCTTCAACTGGCGTAGGAATTTCAATAATATTATGGATTCTGTAGAAGATTGCGCCAGACGATGGGCCAAATATTTTTAAAAAGAAGACGTTGACACTGTCAGAATGGATTAAATGTTTAACATCTCTGTTACAATCTCGTATTAAAAGACTTAGGGGCAATATGAAAACCATCTATCCTTCTGTATACAACAATCCAGAAGTGAAAAAAGAATTAGATTATATGATCAGTACATTCTGGTCCCTGCAGACAAAGCAAGTAACAACAGTCTTCGTTTGTAAGATTCATTAAGAAGACATTATTCAAAATCATATGTCAGTTTTGAACATTTCTTAAGATATCAAAGAACCTAATTGAATTTGAACTACCATATCTATACTGGATTTCGAAACTGCATAAAAATCCTTACAAAGATAAACATAGCGGGTTCCAGTAAATGCTCAACCAGGCCTCTTCTTCACCCTTCACTAAGATATTAACAGTAGCGAAGGAGAAATTTCAAGAGTACTGTGCAATAATATATTCAAGGAGTGGTTTAAATCAGATGTGGATACTTAAAAACTCCAAGGAACGTTTGGATAATTTGAAATCACAAGGTTTTACCAAAATTAAAGGCTTAAAAACATACAACATTTCAACTTTATATACGACCATTCCCCACGACAAATTTAAATCCAGGTTTTTTGATATCGTTGACTGCTGCTTTTACGATGAAAATAGAACTCGGAACTCGTAAATTTACTTACCTTATCAATGGTTATTTTCAAAATTATTTGTACATACAAAAACTCTGAAATTGACATCAAAAAGATGCTTGGTTTCTGATTAACAATACCCATGTGGTTTTAGAGACCAGGTCTTCCAATAATCTATTGGAATTCCAATGGGTACCAATTGCGCCCCTATATTAGCAGACCTTTTTTGTATTAACATGAAATAGAATTTGTCAAAAATCTTATGCGTGAAAAGACGAAAAAAACTAATTGTTGTGGCCTTCAACTCGAGATCTATCGACAACGTATTGTCAGTTAACAATGGTAACTTCCATTTTTATGTCGATAAGATATATCCCGGAGAGCTTGAAATAAAAAGATACCACAGAGTCTGACAAATCTGTTTTATATTTGTATATTGTGCTTGAAAAAGACATTAATGGCAATCTAACCACCAAGCTCTATTGTAAACGTGATGACTTAACTTTACAAACGTCAACTTACCTTACTTTTGCAGCAATATACCTTCATCACCTGCATACGGACTTTTTGACGTTAGTTGACTTGATTACTTGATCATTCTTTCGGAAAGAAAATTTCGCAAAGCGATAGGCCAGAAGCTAGGGAGGCCTAATATGCATATAAATCTTTTGCGTCTGTCTTAGCATCTGGCGCTAGGTGGCCTTATATGCATGCGAATCTCTAGTCCAAAATATCTTAGATTTTTTAGGCTTTTCTTCTTTTCTCATATTATAGTATACGTACCAGGAAAACGTCAGAACCGGCGCCATTATGAAAAGAAATATCGCCGTTTCCAACCGGGATGATTTTCGATATTGATGCGAACCGAATTAAATGCCGCAATCACAATTTATCAATAGCACAGTCCTTCAAGTACTCACTATCGCTCGCGTGGCGCAGTGGATAGAGCGTCAAGACTGCCCTTGAATCGCGAAGAAAGGAGTTGATCCTTACGTCGCGGGTTCGAATCCCACTGTGGGACCAGGAGACCGGGCCTTTGGATGAGACCGTACAAACCGAGGTCCCATGTCGCAGTGAGTACTGACCCTTCTGGCAAGAAAAGGATCCCTCCCTGATCAATAGCCCTGAGTGCCGAGTATAAAAATTTGCAGCTCTCCACCGGCAAGTAGTGGCTTCTCCATATGAGTGAAAAATTCTCGAGAGGGACGTTAAACAATATACAATCAATCAATCAATCAAGTAATTACCAATATCGCTGATAAGAAAACATCACATCTCAGGATTTGCAAGATTTTAAACTATACAAAATGAAAAATAAACTCGACAATCTGATAAATACCGGATTGTATATTTTGAAAACCAAGTCATAAAGCGATATTGGTGAGTACTCAAAATAATGTACTATATTGATCGTTGTGATATTGACCTTTCGCTTGGTTTGTAAGTATCGAAAATCAACCCGAGAATGCCGCCTCCATTTGGTGGCGGTGAATTCCAAGTTTTCATAATGTCGCTGGTTCTGACGTTTTCCTGGCACGCAATTTATCAAAACCGTGAGAATAGCCTGGTAAACGTCAGATAATCACGTGCGGCTGTCTATGTCTTTGACGTCACTGCATCGACATTGATTAATTGATTGATTGTATATTGTTTAACGTCCCTCTCAAGAATTTTTCACCCATATGGAGACGTCACCGTATGCCGATGAAGGGCTTCAAATTTTGACCTTTACTCGGCACTCAGGGCCATTGAGCAGTGAGGGATCTTTATCGTGCCAACGCCTGCCGCTGACACGGGGCCTTGGTTTTTAAAGTCGCATCCGAAGGACCCGCAACTGTTACTTCAAAATGCCGAGCGCATGGTTAAGAAACAGTTGCTACCCATTTTTTATCGACTCAGGACAGTCACGCCCGAGATACGAACTTACGACCTCTCGATAACGGAGCGAGTGCTCTACCGACTGAGCTACCGTGAACGGTGAATCGACATTGAAGATCTCCTGTTAATTAAATCTATTAGTCTACTTTTTAAAATCTAAATTTACAATTTTATTTCACAGTGCAATGGAAATATAAGGAATCCCTGTCAAGTTGGTGGAGTATGCCAAGAACGGATGCTGGAAACGTGGGATAAGTGATGACCGTTATTTAAATTATCCCACGTTATTAACTATTGTTGATGCCCTGGTATACTCTACTAACTAGACAGTGATCCCTTAACGAGGTTGGATCCTGATTTTTAAAGTCTTAAACATTTTTATCAAGTATATTTTTAATTTCTACACACATGACTTAATTAAAAAACAAAACACGAGGGTCAATATGCTTAAAAAACAAAACACGAGGGTCAATATGCTTCTTTAGGCGCTATATATTTAAAATGACCTTTTTGCAGTGAAATGTGTGTCATAATAAAAATCACATCTTCGACGTTAAGTTTTCCCTTCAATTTTTTTTAATCCAAATAAAGCATGGAACAAAATAAACTATTAGTAAATAAAAAAAAAAGGAATTTTGAAATTGTAACTAGGAAAATTTTTTAATTGCTTTGCAAAATCATTTATTTGACCTTTCTGCACTCACAAAATGTGATTTTTCTGGCATTGAAAATTTTAAAACAAGCGAGAAAAATATTTTAAAGTCTTAAACGTTTGCTGAATTTATGCAGATTGATCAAAGCTACCTTATTTACTCGAAAAGAAAAAACAAAAAGTAGAAGTAAACGTCTATGATGTAAAGAAGAAGAGTCGTTATGGTTTATAATCGGCCCTTTGATTGAATCTGATGAGGGATTTTTCAAAAGATGTCTACAATACATATTTTCCAAAACAGTTTAAATTTCTCCGATACCACTTTTAGTTTTTTGTCAGGAGCCTCTTAAAAATGACATGATCTTCCACAAAAGTCGCGCTTGACGGCATGGCCTCGCTATTTAAAAATAACGTCATCAATTTTTTATCGGCAATTTTCAAAATTTGTATGTTTCAAAATATGATAATTTACTAATATGTAAAGTTTTTTTTCTATATTTCTTTTCTTCTGTATCATGTGTATGTTAACCAAATATCCCATTTTTTTTATTTCCTGTATTTTAAGAATAGTGATTTTTTTTTACGATATACAACTCTTTGCTAAAGCGTTTATTGCATAAAACGTTTTTAAGAGAATATATGTAAAGAGTTTATTTTCGTGAATTATATAAACATTTGAATGACTAAAAATCCTGCATAACAATAACAAACACAAAAGATATTCTTAATATACATATGCAGCATACTCGTAAATTAACACTATTTTATCTTTTAAAAATGATAAACATTTCAATAAGATAACAATTTCACGAAGTAAAGGTACACAGAAATTCATAAACAATATACCAGTAAAACAAAAACAATCACATCTTCTCAAGTCTTTCCAGAAGGCTAAGGGCACATTAAATACTCGTTTATTGAATATTAAATACTAGTACTCGTAGTTAATAGATTCATATCTTTCAAATATATGCCAGATATAAGACTGGAAAAAAAATGTAATCAACGTATCTAGATATTACTAAAAGATGTTAATTCTATGCTGAAAATGGCTCATTTTTCTCCTGGAATTAAATAATTTTTTTACTACTAGTATATATTTGTCACAATTTAATGAAAAAATTCAACAGAAATAATCAAATAGATATTACAGAACCAGCATAAAACATTTCACTGCAAAACAGCCCTGTGTGCAACCAGCATGGAAAAATAGGAATCTAAACTTAACAGTACTGTATTTATTTCAAAAGGGAAAAATTGATCTATTTTTTTTCTAAAAAAACCTTCTGCCACAAAATATAGTTCCTTACTTGGTCCTATTTGAATGTTCTTTAATCACTTTTTTTTCATTGGATATAGTTTAATTTGCATTTTTATAATCCAGATTTAATGTAAGAACTGAAAAATGATGCAGAATTTTAGAAAAAAAAAAAACAAAAACTGAAGACCAAAATCTGCTCAAAACCTCAGGCTCCAACCTCCTTAAATAGCATATAAAGATCAGTTAAGATAAAGATAATATTGATATTGAATTTCAATATGTATAAATTGTTTTGATCTTATCTAGCAATCACAGGGAGTAGTCCACCTCTCGGAATCCGATGGATCTCCAGGTCATCAGCGGGATTAAAATATGAATTCATGTCATAATTTAGTGAATTTGTTACATTATTACAGCTACGTGGGTAGGAGGTGGATTTATCAATGGGACAGCTGAGTCGGTATACAAAGATGGACTGGTGTGGTGCCAGGCACCCCTTGGGTACGCCATCAGTTTAATGCTGGGTAAGAAAAGCTTCTACGGCAGAGAACAGGTCAATAGGAAATAAAAACATTTATTTGTTTCTTTAATTTTAATGACATTAAACGATAAATTATGAATATGAATTTCAATTTAATACTTGGCACACAAGTGTGTATTTTCCTTCTTTGTTGAAGTTTTGTGATTATGATCCATGTAAAGTGCAAAATTAAAAGGTAATATTTTAGGAGGAATCAAAGTAATGAGAATGTAGTGTGGGAACCTTAATGACTTAAGCATAGCTTTTGTATGATGACAAATATATTTTAAAAAAGAAAAAGGAAATATTAATCAAGTTTCATGCGCCAATTGCAAACATCATAGTCTCTCAATACTCTCGATTCATTTATTCAGTGATGCCATCGAGGTGTTTTAGTTATGCATAATCCTACCTTGTTTTTATCTTTCATTTAATCTTAAAAAATATGTAAAATAGCACACTAGAGTTCACTTGAAAAATGCTGTAATTTTATGTACTTGCCCTTTTCGATATACATGTATAAATATTTTTTTATGTAGACAATCCAAATTTTCATTACAGGTGGGATATTTTTCGCCAACAGAATGCGATCTCAAGGTTACGTCACGATGTTGGACCCTTTTAGCAGAACTTATGGAGAGAGAATGGGTGGATTGTTGTACATACCGGCACTTCTGGCTGAGGTGTTCTGGTGCGGGGCCATTCTGGCCGCCCTAGGTATGATTTACCTCTATAACTACTAATGGACATTTCAATTAGAGAGTTGAAGTTCCTTTTTTTAATACTCTAGTATCTCGGTGAGAAGTTCTATAGTCAACACATTTTTCCATAACATTGTAGAATCCTTAATATAATTGAGAAATCATATACCTAGGATATTCTTATTGCAAATAACTTGAAAATGTGAACATAAGATTTTTTATGACGTCACAGGTGCTACGTTGGCGGTAATTCTGGACTTGGAGCAGACGTTATCGATAACAATCTCGTCCTGTATCGCGGTATTCTATACTCTCTTTGGCGGCCTGTACTCTGTAGCCTACACCGACATCATGCAGTTGACCTGTATCTTTATTGGTCTTGTAAGTATACATGTATTCCGTCAAACTGTGTACATTTGGATTTTCATCAATAACACATTTAAAATTAAGATTATGGAGTATTTGTTGAGGAACTGGAAAACTAGAAATTTTAACATCAATTTTGAGTATACATAACGTTATCAATATGTATAATACTATGCAATTTAACCAATGCTTTCAAGTAAAGGGATTTGTCTTTCGAAGAACTTAATTTATTTTTTTTTTGAAATGTATAATTTGAAGCAGCATTCATATTTAAAAAACTTCTATAGGAAGGGAGGACGTCTCTTGCTGAGGCCTTCAATTCAACTTTTATGTCTCTTGACAAACTTTTTTCAATTATACAATTTTTTTTTTCATTCCAACTATGGTTGGTTATATATCCTTGAACTTAAGACACCACAGAGTCTGAAGCGTCTGCCCCTTATTTGGATAATACGTTAATAGTAACGTTAAACAAAAGTTGGATAATGAATGTGATGACTTTTCTGTAGTAAACTTATTTATATAGCAATATACCATTATCACCGTCATTTGGAGTTTATGTCCTCCAAATGGCCAAGACCATACTCAGTACGATCAATTTTTAAAACGAGTCACGATATTAACCAACAAGCTGATGAAACAAGGATATCATCATTCACGTTTGAAGTCATCATTTCGCAAATTCTATGGTCGATACAATTGCCTAATCGTCAATTATACTCTATCATTAGGTCAACTGCTGATTGACATTTTTCATACTAATTGTTAGGGCATTATTTACACACTGATTTGTTCACAAATATCCCCGTCTAACCAAGCATGACAAGGAACACACAACAGGGTGGCCGGTAGACAGAGGATGCTTACTCCTTCGTGGCACCTGATCCCTCATCTGATTTTTTAAGGGATGTCCGTGTTCGCATTGCTTCCGATATCGATTCTTATTGTTTAAGTGGACTTGAGGCTAGAATTCTGTTTAATATAATGTATTGAAGTTGTCGACCTTTGACCAGAGGCATTTTAATCATCATTAGCAAAGAAGGAAAAAGCACTTGTGCTAAGTATTTTCCTCTTTTTAAGCACAATTAAAAGAATAAAGATGATGAAGATTCATTTAGCTGTTTAAACTTTCCATTTGATTATTCTTAACTCGGAGAAATAACTTTTATGTCCCTTTGAATGATAAAAAACAAAAAAAATTTAGATTTATAAATAATTTAATTTTTTGACTTGTGATAAAGTTTGTGGTAGGAGATTGGACGCTCTTTACCATTAAGAAAATAAGTATTGCACTATTACTTGGCTTCAGCAATTCCTGACAAAATGATGTTAAAAAGGAAATACAGAATTGTACTTTTACCCAGTTAACCTTGTCAAAATTTATATAGAGATACTATCCCTCACTCCTCGCAATTTGTACATCTCCTGATACAGAATGTATTTCAAACAGTCACATTCTGTTAAAGTAAATGCTGCCTTTGTAATAAAATTACAAATTGATAAGAATACTGTAAGTTTTATTACTTCGCATATTTCAAAAGTTACCAACGTTAATATGAAAATGTGAAGACAACTAATCGATCTACAAACACTTAAATCTGTAAACACGGAATAAAAGAGGTCCCCCGAAAAGTCCACAAGTTGGGTCAGTTGCAATTGAGGAATAGGCATCATCTGTCAACCAGGTACACCCGCTGTTAACCTTATGAATTGATCAAACAGACGGAGCATTAATAAAACATCTATTATACAAACAAAGGCCCAACAATTGGAAAGAAAGTTATCCATGTCCAGTCAACGGATAGGTTGCAAAGAAGATCTTTGGAATTTACAATATGCTGACTTTCGATGTGGTTGTTGACTTTCTTGTTAAGCTGAGGTTATATGTGGATGCTGACATTCTTGTTACATCAACTTTACTGTGAGTAACCTGCCAAGGTTGTAATGTTGATTATACTCAGAGCATGCTTATTTTGGAGACATTAAAGCCACAAGAAAACGATAGAGGTACACATCTATGTAAGGAAAATCGGTGATGAAAAAACTGGTCATCTCCATTGCCATACAATTTGCTGTTAGTTAGCCCTTATCGTCTACAATCAAAAAGCCATCCATATATGAACCAATCTTCTTATGTAGAAATTGTTGGATAAATGTTGGTTTAAAGAATATAAAAACAGGTTGGGTAATGAAAGAGCTCAATTTTGCTCATCGGAATCCCAAATTTTTTTTAAAATTTGATCTCCGAAGACTATGATAAATGTTGTCAATGAGTAACTTCAGCATCCTTTATAATCTTTAATGTATTAATGTGTGCTGAGTGATTCTTAACGAAGTGATTTTGCTGATGACCAATAAAACATTTTAAAATTTCAATGAAAAAATGTGACAGTGAATTTTGATTCATCAAATAATACATCACTATTTTATACAGACAATACTCTTTCAGACGACTCCTTTTTAAGAGAAACCATAACACAGACATTTTAGTTATGTTTTATGTTGAATATGTTGTTATTGTATCCTGAATACATTTTCTCTCTAAAATTATTGTAGTGGCTCAGTGTTCCATTTGCCATGACAAACACGCACGTGACTAGCATCACTACCAATTCCTCCACAGTGTGGATTAAGGACCTGGACCCTAAGTACATAGGCTACTACATCGACTCCTTCCTGTTGATCATGCTCGGCGGGATCCCCTGGCAAGCCTACTTCCAGCGGGTTTTGTCGGCCAAGTCCGCATTCAACGCTCAGATTCTGTCTGTTATGGCGGGGTTTGGCTGTATCATCCTATCCATTCCCTCCATTTTAATTGGCGCTATCGCTGCCAACACAGGTTGATACTTTTTTTTTATTTTGATGAAATGTAAAAGCTGTTTAATATAAGAGCAATACTATGCGTACATTTTTATTTAAACGACCGTCTTTTATTTTTCAAACATAATTTCGAGACCGAGGAGGTTATTCTGCATCATTCAACAACACGACTTTATTTCTATTCTATTACAGCAGTAAAATACGACTGATCGTTTCTCTATAGGGAAAAGAATTAGGTCACCATGCTGCATTAAACTGTTCCATTTAGCACCAGAATGTAAATTTGTGTGTTTACTTGTGAATAGAATGCAGACGAATTGTGCTTTCGCCGCATTAAAATCAGCCTTTTATTAAATATTAATCTGTTTGTAGCTTATATAGATTAATCTTCTGGAATATACAATAAGAAAATCAGTTTCCTATGTCACCACTTTATCACTAAAATCACAGAGTTTAAATGCGGCGTAGGGAGGTCCGTGAAACAGCCCCGCTTCGCTTTAGAAAACTACATTCATCAGCTACCTTCTGCAATACACAGTGTTTAAATTGCAAAAAAAACGACACATCGATGTGGTCTAAATAAGTATTTCATTCTGAAGTCAAATGTACATTTCAAATGCACAGGTTTGATACGTCTTTCTGATCTGATCATTTTTTAATGACGTGTCGTGATTTATTGGAGAATAATGTCCGCGGCATTTCTTTGATCTCGGCAATAATCGTAGTAGAATTTAATATACTGTATTTGAAAATATAGATAATACTCCGATTTATTTTTTGCATTTGGCAGATACTGGTAGATATCTTGTACTCGGAACTCCGTAGTATATAGCCGATTGATAAATTATTTTTTAAGTTGTCGTGTATGCATGTTTTAAATTGATTTTTTTTAGCAAAAATTGAGTAAATTTGATGATAGGTGAAATATAGAGCATTCTGAGGCCTTTTAAAGGTTCAATTTAAGTTGATCAGTCTATTTTATCTTTTTTTGCCATCACAGACTGGAATGCTACAAGCTACGCAACAGAGGACAATAAGCCGGTGCCCATCCCACCGGAACTGGTATCTAACATCCTGCCCCTGGTGCTGCAGTACCTGACCCCCGTATGGGTCTCCTTCTTTGGACTAGGTGCCGTGGCGGCGGCTGTTATGTCGTCTGCTGATTCTTCCATTCTTTCTGCAAGCTCCATGTTTGCTCGCAATGTATACAAGATGATATTCCGTCCGAAGGTAAATCATACATTCACAACAATAACGAAATGTTTGTTACATATGCTTTGTATCCTAGGGTAGAAGATATATTGGAATGGCATAGTTGTTTGTTTTTCTGTACGTCTTCACAAATTCATATATTTGCCATACCATTTGAGCCTCAATGTTTTAGCATGTGACAAATTGTGCTTGATAATCATATATTTACATTTCCAATGTCTTTGTCCGAGATAAAATTGCAAATTGTAAATGTACTTTATTTCCCCATCAATATATTAGCGCGGTTCAAAAAAAAAAAAAAAAAAAAAAAAAAAAAAACTACGTGTAGGGGAAGACAAACAGCTAGACAGAAGCAGAGCTTGGAACACGTAGATTGGCGGAATCAAAGTATGAAAATATAAGGAATAACTGTCAGATTTTTCAATTTCATGACGATAATTTTATCATTTTATGCAAAACGCCAATCATTTATGCAAATTATCACATTATGACACCATGAAATCGAAAAATAAGACAGTTATTCCTTAAAAAATAATTTTGAACAAATTGGAATTATCGAACATGAACTTTAATTCTTTTTTTTTTTTTGCTTTAAATTATGTCCATGCTTCTAGTCTGAACTAATATTATCCTTTTTTTCAATTGTTGTGTTACTTTTTTTATATACAGGCTTCAGAGAAAGAAGTTCTTTGGGCAATGAGGATTTCCATTTTTGGCGTTGGTGCCTTGGCAACAGTTATTGCGATTGTCGTAAAATCTATTTACGTGCTTTGGTTCCTGTGCTCTGACCTCCTTTACGTCATAAGCTTTCCACAACTTTTGTCAGTTATTTATATCCGAAAGTGCAACACCTATGGATCTATTTGTGGTTATATAGTAGGACTAATCCTTCGCCTCCTGAGCGGGGAGTACACTCTAAATATTAATCCGGTCATCAAATACCCTTGGTACATCGAATCGGAGGGACTTCAGCTGTTTCCGTATAAAACATTCTCCATGTTGGTTACATTTACTTGTATTGTTTCAGTTTCATATCTGATCAGATATATGTTTCAACGAGGGATTATTCCCATGAAGTTTGATATCTTTAAATGTTTTACTGGAAAATTCGAAACGTCTGTCGACATTGCTGTCAAAGAAGGAAAGAACAACCCTTCCTTTGCGGCATCTGCTGACGACGTTAGAGACCGATACACGAAGCAGGAAACATTAACTTGAAAACCCCGGCTTTTAAACGAACAATCTTCAACATGTTCAATGTATAACTGCAAGTGGTTATTTAAATATATGCCAAAAATATTCTTTGAATGAAACGACTTCATTAGGATTACATGTAATATACAATATATTTATATAAATGTAGTTCACAGTACTTATACTTTATGGCATGCAATAATGTGAGGATTACTCTTTTTAATTGTGCATCACATACTGTATACACGGTTATTTTCGCCCCGTCTTATTTTCGCCTTTCACACTTGCAAACAATTTTGCTCCGTTTAAAATTCGCCCAGTCATAGTTTTGTTTAAGAAATTATACTGCATTATTTGAATTCGCCCAGTTTTTAATTCGCCCAAATGAGGGCAGGGCGATTGGGGCGAAAATTTCCCTGTATACAGTAATCATTTATGTAATGTACATGTATAATGATAGACTTATAATAATAATCTTTTAAAAGAAATACTGGCGCAATATAAATTTTATAAAATTAACGAGATTGCTTGGATCGAGGGTTGTTCCTCTTTGATCAATTCAGTTTTGGGAACTTGAAAGTGTATCTTTTTATACATTTATCATTATGTTGAATATTTTCTTAACTGCGACATAATTTTTGTTCATATTTTATCATATGGATGAATTATTAAAAATGAGCATGAAATATATGTAGAAGGAAGAATTATTTAATCAATGGGCCCAGATATTTGAATGAAAATTAGATTCCATCTGCAAGAATTATACGGGTTACCTTCCGACGCCTTCAGCTGAACAACTCAGAAGCTGCAAAAAAATTAAGTCTGTTTGCTTGTCTATCCATTACCATTAATTTTTACATGAAGGATATGGAGATAACGAACAGTAATCAATATCAAGGTCCATAAAACTATACAAAATAGGAGCAGAGCAAACATGGGCCTCCAAAACATCAGAAGTGGGATCAAGAGCCATGGAGGATTGAGCATCTCCAGCCGACCGGTCACCCTCGCCGTGTGTTCCTTGTCATGATCGTGAAATAACAAAAAAAAAAAATCCGTCGTCAATTCAGTGTACTATAGATTTTTGGAAAGGCTGGGGCTCTCGATTTTTTATAATTCTAGTTTTTCAAATAATGGACGCTGAATGTTGCATCTGAATGATGCTATTGCAAAAAGCAAATTGGGTAAAGTAGAAGCCCGTCTACACTATATCACAGTTGACAATTGCAAGTTGGTAATGGTTATAAGCCGAAAACTGTCCATTATGTCAGATATTAGACGACCCGAGGCGTAGCGCCGAGGTGAGCCTAAAATTTGACATAATGGTCAGTTTTCGGCTTATAACTTACTTAAAACATTTCTCCACTGTCGAACACTTCCATTGTTAACTTATTGGACAGTCACAGATAAGGTCTCGTTCTGCTTGGATGACTACCTGGCACTGTTCATCAAGTAAGGCCAAAGAAATCCAGTTTTGGTTTTCCTTCTGTCTTTATAAATAGTAGAAATCATCGAGAGGTGTTTTATATCAATAAATATGAACATTAACTTTGTTTAGTCTTATTTATCCGCATTGCGACATTTTTTTTAACCATACTACGCATGCGTAAAAGTCAGTTCTACTAAATTCTTTACAATTTATTCATTTAATAACGCAACCACCACGGATGACGACGTACATTTTAATTTTGAAAAAAGACTTTCAGAATCGGCAGTTTTGACGATGCCATTTATCGATTACACCAAGATGCCTCAGTTCAAGTTCAAGTTTTTTTTACCATATATATATTCTTATGTTTAGGAATTTGCAAGAAACAGTTTCTGTTAACAGGTAATTTTTGTAAAGCAATAAGATTTGAAGGACTTTACTCCAACCACTGTATAAGCATTTTCTATTAAATTGGGAGATCATTTCTGATGATTTTTGTTTTAATGCAACGGTTACTCTTTTGTATGCAGGTTTCGAACTCGGAAGGATTTTACTCCAGCCATCCCTTAAAACAGCGACAGACACTTGCTAAAACAACGCGGGCCTAGGTGGAAAAATGTTCATGGAATACCGATTGAAATTACTACAGATTCCGTTGGAATTTCATGAGCGAAATTTTGTGCTAAATGCGGAAAAAGTGGATATTTAAATAAGCAAAAAAGCCCAAGGTTGTGTGTAAGAAAACGCATGCTTCTCATTCATCTTTTGTGTCCCTTGGATTCTATATATGTTCCATGGATCGATCATTGTGAAATGAATCTAATATATAGCATTTAATGGACGGTGAATTTAGGAAATTTATGATCGGATGAGTGTTCATTAATGAATGTGAGACACTCAATTCACTGTGGATTATTTGTGACATTTTCTTGTGAAATGTTAACATTTAACGCTACTAATTTCCTACATTATTAAATTGTTTGATTTGTCATTGTCTTTTAAGTGCTGTTTATTTATTTGCCTCGCCCTTTGTTCTCATTTGAATGTTACCTGTACCTGTCCAATAAGTTGAATCTTATTGGACACTTACAGGTAACTTATTGGACGGGGTGCAGGACAATAACAAATTTATTGAACCAGGTTTAACAAAAGGTGACGTCACAAAAATGTTTTAATTTTTAATATTGCACAGACCACCATTTCTAAAGTGTTTAATACTATACACTTATACAGATACAACCAGCATGGTACAAGAAATGATGACGAAAATGGCAGACCATGCGTCATCAATAACACATGATTGCTTGTGTGGTTCGCAGAATTTTCATGATTATAATTTCTCAATGACGTCATCCACACTATTATCTTTCCTTGAACTACTCAGGATAACAAATTTTCTGTTTTCAATATGCAAATGTACACTTAAGTTATTGCAACTTATTCATGCCATTGTTCTTGCACCGCAACACCGCAATTCCGACTTCAAAGTTCTCAGACTAACAGAGAATGCCCACAACAACACTGAACAGTTTAGTCTTGTGGCTAGTCCAGAATGTTAAAATACCAAGCCTGACGTAAGAGCCAGGGCGGATAAGCTACGTAATGAACGTTTTACAGAAATCTGCCTTCGGGACGTAGGCAGATATTGTGGTAGTAGTGTAATGAATTGAAAAAAAACCTTTTCCCCTGTATTTAGGACAAGTAGGACTTATTTGGTTCATATTCAAGGGAAATTTCCGATACTCAAGCGGAAAGTTGTCAGAAAACAGCTCTTCAGAGCTAATGTTCTTTGTTTGATGTACCCAACTTTAAATAAATATTATCTTTATCTTATCTTATCTAAGACGTGTTTTACTTGCGCATGTTTTTTTCCAATAACTCAACACCCTAGAGTCACATTTCCATCTAAATTATACACCCATTTACACATTGTTCAAAAAGTGCATTCTAGCAAAACCAAAGCTTCCTGTTCTGACTAAGTCATCAAAACTGCGATATTTAAACATACTAAATTTATTTCTTATCTCTTGACCATGACCTACATATTTAACCATTCTGTCTTCCATGCATCTTCACTCCTCTTCTTTGTTTGTAGCTATTTTTTTAGAACAGTTGTGGCTTACTTTTGGATGAACCCTCCAATCAAAAATAAATGTCACGTCTGTTGTACACGTAAGTTTGTAAAGAATCTCTGATACGTCTGGCTGATACCGTAATACCAGACATCCTTCAAGGATAAATAACACTGTAATCAGCAATATTTCTCATAAATTTACATTAAGATGGGTAACCTGAATAATGTTTACCAAGTATAGTAGGGGAATTGTATAAGATTTTTTCATAAGGTTAAAAATTTGTGCAAAATTTTGTATGGGACCATAAAGAAAGCAAAACAAAGTCTCACATCTAAGCACCACGGAGGACCTAAGATTTCTCTATATTTTAGGGATTTATTATTTATGTCATTTTAAATCAAAATCAGTCAAAAAATATATATCAATCCATGTATCAAATTTTTGTTTGTTTAAAGTACCCTTTAGTTTAATCTGAGTCAAATATTTTGAAATATTATTAACATTCTGCATAAAATTAGAAAAAAAAAACACAACACAATAATCAGCCAACCAACCTATGATCGATATTTGGATAAAAATTTTGAATATAGAGATGTGAGGGCGTAGGTAGCAAAACCTATCTATGAACCTAAATAGTACTACCTGTTACCATGTTATTATTTGCATGGAAGGTGTTGACGAATTGAAGCATTAACAACAAGTTTGCCCTTTGTTTTACATTAACATTTTTTGTTTTGTCCAACTTCATTTTCAGTATAAAAGTCCATTGATACTAGACCAGAATCCACACTTTATTTATCCTAAATTGCTGTATGCAGGTAATCTTAATGCCGGTTTCGGTCTATCAATCATAGAATGTGGTTTATAAATATAAATCTACACCAGAACAGGGTCCCTGTTTCAATGTTGTCTGAACGAGATGGCTGTCAATGTTCCTGGCCTGATAGCAGTTATTATTTTTTACCTGTTAATTCTCGGCCTTGGACTATGGGCAGCGAGAAAAACCAAAGGGGAAACAAGCAGTGAAAATGTGATGCTGGCCAATCGGAATATCAGCCTGTTAGTGGGGGTCTTCACAATGACGGGTTAGATTTACAGATTTCTTAACATTAAAATTGAGAGTATTACTCGACTGATTTAATTACAGAGCCTAGTGATTTATCAAATCATGATCATTTCTATAAAAAGAAAAAATATATACATGTCTTGTTCTATCCTGTCATTTATTTTCTCGGCTGGTCTTCTCAGAATAATCTACTCACCCAATAATGATGACGCATGCGCGTGCAAAAAATGAAATTGTCAAAACTCAAATATATGGCATGTCAGATGTTGCAGTTTTTAATTTTTCCCTAAATATTGTATAATTTTCCATTTGCATTTTGTGATTCTAGTTGCATCTTTTAACATGCTGTACAAATAATTGCAATTTTCATGTGTTAAAATGAAATATAGAAAATATGATTCATAAGCACGAAAGCATATGTTCGTGAATGTTACTGCCTCTGAATTGACTGACAAAAAAAAGACACAATTTTTTTACGATCTTTTTTCAAATTTCATCAAGACGTTATATTCCATGGCAAACCTTCTCAGAATGATTCATTAGTTCTTAATACTTATATAAAAAAAATATTTTAAAAGAAAAAAAAGGACCCCCCCTTCAAAAAAAAATCCACCCCCCCCCAAAAAAAAAAAAAAATAAAAAAACAGACAGTAATCAAGCAGATGTCGATGATGATTATAAATGGCGGCTTAAGTAGTGTAAAAACTACCTTATTAGGCCCTGAAAGTGAAGTTCTTTCCATAAATATCTTGAAAAGTAGATTGTATAGGATATTTTTAGCATCGAGTGCGCAATTTATCTAGGAAATAATTTTGGAATGTTAAGTGTAAGCATAAATATTGCGCTTAAAAGAAAAAAGCATCTTATTCCCATACGGGCGAGATAGATGCCATATTATATTGGCTTATATTATAAACAAAAATAAAAATATCGTCAAACGTTATTATTGAGGGGCACAAGCGTATATGGTATCTGTGTTTTCTACAGTTTTCTATATATCGGCATAATTGCTCCCGGTTCTTACGGCCCTGATAGGGTAAATCTAAGGTCATCTCCAGGAAAAGTAAGATGAAACATCAAAGAGTAAATATTAAGATTTTTAGGTTATTCAATTGGTATACACAGATGCCTTTTAATTTTCTATGGGAATCTAGTTTGTTTTCCATCAATTAATAAATTCATATTTTTTTTCTGTCTTTGAATTTGTTTACAAAAATACTGTTCAATTTATCATTTTACTTCACTCGCTTACCTAAAGGATAAGATTAATGTTTTTGCACGCTAGGAATAATTCAAACATTTTTTTCTTTCACAATTTACGTCCACTTAAAAAAGATATCCGTTTAGTTACACAGCATTATGTTTTGTCAAAATACAATTTAATGAAAAAATGAGAAAAAAAACCACGTACATTTTATACAGAAATATGAAGGTCACTTTTCCTCCCCCCAAATAAAATTAGAAAACCCCGCCAACTTTTTAAATGTCGTCTGTTTTGCAGATCGTTTGGATTTCTTTTTAAAAGAACAAGGTAGGGTAACGGCCGAATCTGGCCCCTTATTTGATGAAAAAATCAGAACACTGGTAAAATTGTGATAGTTTGTAGTTAAGAAGTTAAAATGATGCTTACTTTAAAACAAGCACTAATATAGATTCAAATCTTACATGGAAGCCCCTAGAGGGTGACGAAGTAGGACATTTTGCAGAATTTTCTCAATTCCGGTGGAATTTCATCATATTTGAGATACTTTTCTCTTCGGAAAACATAGAGCACAAGATTGCCGATTTGAGATTTTTACACATAAACTGCATCTGATATTAGTGCATAAAATATATAAATTTGGTAGATAGACAAGCTTGTGTTCTATGTTTTTCGAAACAAAATGTTTTGTTATTTCAATGAAAATTTGCATAAAAATGAAAAAATTCGAAAATTGGCCTATTTCCTAACCTCACTGAGACCTCTGTATATTCTAAATCTTGGAACCAATACTCATTTTTTGGCAGGGGTGACATCAGGTTTTTAAGGATAAACTGTTGGATCATTCTGAAAGACGCCCAAAATCGGGGGCCAAATACTGGTCTTACCCTATCTTGCCCTTTGACTTAATAGTACGATTAATTTTTTCTTCGTGTGAAAACGCTATTTTAATTTCGAAAATAGGAGGTCGACACTCGACACATCGCATTTTGTTCACATTTCATGTAGATTGTTAGCACCGATGTTCTTATTGTTAAACGAAGTAAATGGAAATATAATCTGATAAAATTGCCATCTGCAAAAACGCGATATGTATATGTTACTAATAAGTTGATATGATAAATGGAGATTTTATGACGTTATTCGATCAACAGGATAGATTATTATGTAAGCTTTTTAACATCATTGACAACTTCATCAAATAAAATGTAACTCGTAAAGGATGGATTTAATGGCCTAGAACTTTTCGAAGAAAACTACTAGCTATTTTAAGAAGCAATATTAGAAGAATTTTTGCATGTAAAAAGATAATCAGGGTTACGCGTTTCTCATCGTCTGAATACATACGAGGGCTGTTCAATAAATAATGTCATTGGTGCTAGGAAAGAGATAAAAAAAAACCACTTTTCAATGATTTAGTCTTAATGATTTCAATGAAATATACTTTTTAAATTAAAACACAGGTCCGTAACATTTTATTCAATTTCTAGTTTCATAGGTCCCAGTGACTTCGTTATAAGCGAATTTTACTGTATAGTCCTGCTGGAGACGTTATTACTGCCGACGTAAATATAGTTAATAACAAGGACCTTAGATTAATAAATTTAAAAGGTCCTAAATATAGGGAAGCCCGATCCTTCAAATGGCGGTGGAATTTCATAAATATTATGGATTCTGTAGAGGATTACTCCAGACGATTGGCCAAATATGGAAGAAGAAGACCTTGTCACTTTGTCAGAATGGGTAAAATGTATCAGATCTATGTTACAATCTCGTATTAAAAAACTGAGGGGCAATATGAAAACCATCTATCCTTCTGTATTCAACAATCAAGAAGTGAAAACAGAATTAGGTTACATGATCAGTACGTACTCGTCCCTGCTGACAAAGTAGGTAACAACATTGTCTTCGTTTGTAAAGCTCTTTGAGAAGTCAGTTTTGAATATTTTTATAATCTCAAAGAACCTATTTGAATTTGAACAACCATATCTGTATTGGATTCCGAAACTGCATAAAAATCCCTATAAACAAAGATACATAGCGGGTTTCAGTAAATGTTCAACCAAGCCTGTTTCTTTACCCCTCACTAAGATATTAACTGTAGCAAAGGAGAAACTTCAAGAGTACTGTGCAACAATATATTCAAAACGAGGTTTAATTCAGATGTGGATACTTAAAAATTGCAAGAACATTTGGATAATTTGAAATCACAAGGTTTTACCAAACTCAAAATAAAAATCTAAAAAACTTACGACTTTCAGCTTTATACACCACCATTACCCACGATTAATTAAAGTCCAGTACATGCTTTTTGATATCATTGACAGCTGCTTTTTCAATAAAAATGGAACTCGTTAATTTACTTACCTGGTCATCGGTCATTTGCAAAATTGCAAAAACATTCTGATTGTGCACACAGTACTCTGAAGTTGACATCAAAAAGATGCTTGGATTTCTGATTAACTGTATCCATGAGAGTTTTACAAACCAGGTCTTCCAACAATGTATTGGAATTCCCATGGGTACCAATTGCGCCCCGTTATTAGCAGACCTATTTTTATATTAACATGAAGCAGAATTTGTCAAAAATCTTATACGTGAAAAGAAAAAAACACTTGCTGTGGCATTCAACTCGACATTCAGATATATCGACAACGTATTGTCAGTTAACAATGATAACTTCCATTCTTTTTGTCGATACGATACCTGTATCCCGAAGAGCTTGAAATAAGATACAACATAGCCTGCCACATCTGTTTTTTTTACTTGTATATTGTGCTTGAAAATGACGTCAATGGTAATCTAACAACAAAGATTTATTATAAACTTTACAAACGTTAACTTCCCTTACTTATGCAGCAATATACCTTCATCACCTGCATACAGAGTTTATATATCTCAGTTGATTCGATAGGCAAGAGAGGGCGATGATGACTCTTTGAAGTTAGTTGACTTAATTTCTTGATCATTCTTTCGGATGCAAATTTCGCCTAAAATGCATGTACGTCTTTTAAGTCTGTCTTAACATCCGACGCTAAGGAGGCCTTTTATGCATGTGAATCTTTAGTCCAAAATATCTTACGTTTCTCATGCTTTTCTACGTTTCTCATATTATAATATTTACGTTTGCTGTGTTTTTTTTACTAAGCCGACTGTGAAATTGATTTGAAAACCATTTTAGTGTAAACTCACGCGTAGTTTTAAGTGCGTTAACGTGACGTCACAATAAGGCTACAGCGACGTTAGTAAAAGTATAACGATATAGGGCAGCTAGAAATTCAAATATGGAGTGTATTTTTGGTGCTTCCAAACATGTAAAATGAAAATTATTTGATTGTTTTATGGTGTGACCGTTGGGGCGAGCGCAGTTGTACCATCAAATACACTTGAAAAATTGATCAGCCACTTCAAACATCAAGCCGCACGAGACATCTCGACTAGCTGTGACGTCACACGACGTCACAGAGCTCGTTGGAGCTTATGGAGACAGCCGAGCGTCTGGTTGAAACTATAGACCCAGTGCAATTTTGGTCGAAAAAATTGTAGAGTTATACTTTGTTTCTTTGAAAGATTTCTACATACTGAAAGCCTTTTATGGTTTACGTTATCATTTATTTATTCGCGCAAAGGACATTGGGTAGTAAAGGATTTCTAGGAATGTTTCATACCAAAATTTGCCTGAAGTATCTACAGATTTCATTCCGAATTTCCTCTGTTCTTACAAGTCAATCTATTGAGCTCGCTTTGCGAGCATTGCTCGTTAATATGTTTTACGGTGTGACCGTTGGGTCGAGCGCAGTTGTACCATCAAAAACACTTGAAAAATTGATCAGCCACTTCAAACATCAAGCCGCACGAGACATTTTGACTAGCCCTGACGTCACACGACATTACGGAGCTTACGTAGACAGCCGAGTATGCTTGAAACTATATAGACCAAGTGCAATTTTGGTCGAAAAACATTACAAAGTTATTTTTTGTTTCTTTGAAAGATTTCTACAAACTGATAGCCTTTTATGTTTTACGTTATTATCTATTTATTTCTTAGGACTTGGGTAGTAAAAGAATTCTGGGAATGTTTCAAAGAGAATGTACAGATTTCATTCCGAATTTCCTCTGTTCTTACACGTTAGTCTATTGAGCTTGCTTCGCGACGCTCGCTGCTCTCGCTATAGGGAATGGTTTTAAGTTTAGTGAAAATTATTGGTGTGAGAATCACACCGACTTACAGCTAGGTATATTTTTCATGAAGCTCTAGCATGAAAGATGCCTACTTGACAAGTCTGTGCATGTGATTCACACACCAATAACTCACACGAAACTTCCTAAAGTATACGTGCCAGGAAAACGTCAGAAGCGGCGCCATTTTGAAAACTGGAAATTTCGCCATCTCCAACCTGGGTGATTTTCGATATTTATGCGAACCGAATTAACTAGGCTGAGTCTAATTATTTCTGCCCTAGGGATTTTGATATTTTTTTGATAATTAGTTTTTACTGTTATATTTATTGTTTTATGATTAAAAAATCGAATGGTTACAACCGCGATTTCTTAAGAGACAATCTCAAAAGTTGTCAAATTTTACTATCGGACCCTATGGGAATTTGTTGGAAAAGCGCCAATTTTTCACATTTTCCCCATATTTTTTGTATTTCTGCCCTAGAGATTTCTTTTTCATGCAAGTAGATGAAAGTTATCGTAAAAAGTCACCAAATTGTGAAATTAAAAAATAATTCACCTTCTACTTTGGTCCAAGAATTAATACCAAGTTTATTTTTCAAGTCCAAACACCTCTAAAATTGCCAAATTACGGCATAACTACATGTACATATCAGTGCAGATGAATTATCATACAGACGATTTTTTCGGTAAAAAATAGCAATGTTTAAATTGCTAGTATGTTTCTTTAGATGTTCTGTCATCAGTTTTTTGTATAATATCCATGGACGTCTTGAACATACAAGCGAGTCATGCATCATTCTTAAGTGTCATGCGTTGCCTACAAAATCTGAAAACGGTGACGTCGTTAGAACCATTTCAGCGGTTTTTCCTAATTATTGTCGTAAAAACACATTTTCAGATCAGTAGGGGTTACAGATAATGTTAATTTTGTATTAAAATCAAAATATTTGGCAAAGATGTACTGTCGCACAAATGACTGCATGAAATTGAAAAGGTGATTAAAGTCATGCGCACTCGAATTAGACTCGGCCTCGTTAAATGCTACAATCACAATTTATCAATAGCACAATGCTTCAAGTACTCACCGTCGCCCGCGTGGCACAGTTCGTTAGAGCGTCTGCTCTAGAGTTGCGAAGTAAGGAGTTGATCCTCACGTCGGGGGTTCGAATCCCACTGTGGGGCGTGGAGACCGGTCATTCGGATGAGACCGTATAGTATAGTTTGCATTAGTGTAAAGTTTTAAGTTACGTCAAGATCTTTTTTCGTCAGATGCATCCAGCGTAAATAGTTCACTTGATTGGTCAACTCAAATTATCAACATTGACACGGAAATAGTCTGTTGCACGAGCAACCAATCAGGGATAAGAAGAAAGTTCAAGTCGTAAAGCTTGCGGTTAGGAGGCATGTACAATTTACCTTGAGAGCAGCTGTCAACTAGATCGTGACGTAACGTGAAACTTTACACTGAACTGCAAACCGAGGTCCCATGTCGCAGTAGGTGCTGACCCTTCTGGCAAGAAAAAGATCCCTCCCTGCTCAATGACCCTGAGTGTTGACTATAGAACAAAATTTGCAGCTCTCCAGTGGCAAGTAGTGGCTTTTCCATATGAGTGAAAAATTCTCGAGAGGAACGTTAAACAATATACAATCAATCAATCAATCAATCAATCAATCAATCAATTACTCATCAATATACATGTAGCTGAAAAGAAAACATTACTTCTCAGGATTTGCAAGCTTTTAAAATTGCGGGATGGAAACTAATCTCGACAATCTGATAAAATGTTTTTATCGGATTGTTTAAAACCAAGCCATAAAGTGATATTGGTGAGTACTAAAAATATTGTACTATACTTAATTATTTATCGTTGTGATATTGACACTTCATTCGGTTCTTATGTATCGAGAATCAACCCGAGAATGCCGCCTCCACTTAGTGGCGGCGAATTCCCAGTTTTCGTAATATCGCTGGTTCTGACATTTTCCTGTATGGCACGTAAAATATCAAAACCGTAAAAAAGAACCCTGGTAAACGTCAGATAATCTCGTGCGGCTAACTTTGTCTATGACGTCACTCCACTGGGCGGGGACTATTGAATTGATATGGGAGGCCGCCTGTAATTTAAATCTATAAGTCTATATTTTTAAAATTTAAATTTTAATTTATAGTTTTATTTCACAATGCAATGGAAATTTAAGGAATCGCTGTGAAATTAGTGGAGTATGCCAAGGACATCAATGACCTTTGGAAATGTGGGATAATTGATACCCTTTATGCAAATAATCCTACGTTATCAACGATTGTTGATGCTCATACTTTAAATAACATGTAAAGATCAATTAAGATAAAGATAATATTGATGCTGAATTTCAATATGTATAAAATGTTTTGATCTTATCTAGCAACCAGACGGAGTAGCCCCCCATCCCCCTTAATATAAATTCATGTAATAATTTAGTAAATTCGTTATGATTATTATTACAGCCACGTGGGTAGGCGGCGGATTTATCAATGGGACAGCGGAGTCGGTGTACAAAGATGGACTGGTATGGTGCCAGGCACCACTAGGGTACGCCATTAGTTTAATGCTGGGTAAGAAAAACTTATACTGTAGAGAACAGGTCTGTAGGAAATAAAACGTTTATTTGTGTCTAGACAGTTAATGCCTTTTAACGGCATTAAATTATTTTAATTCCGAATATGAATATCAATTTGATACTTTGCACACAAGTGTGTATTTTACTTTGTTGTCATTTTGTGATTTTAATCTATGTGAAGTGCAAAATAAAAAGATAAGATTTCAGGAGAAATCAAAGTAACGAGAATGTAGTGTGGGACCCTTAATGACTTTAGCATAGCTTTTGCATGATGACAGATACATTAAAAAGAAAAAATTAAACAATTTTCACGCACTAGCTGCAAACAGCATACATGATGTTTTGGTTATGCATAATCCTACTTTTTTCATCTTTTATTTAATTGTAAAAAATATGTAAAATAGCACACTACAGTTCACTTTAAAAATGTAATTTTATGTACATGTACTTGCCCTTTTCGATTTACATGAATTTGAAAATTTTTTTACGTAGACAATCCAAATTTTCATTACAGGCGGGATATTTTTTGCAAACAGAATGCGATCTCAAGGTTACGTCACGATGTTGGACCCTTTAAGTAGAACCTATGGAGCGAGAATGGGTGGATTGTTGTACATACCGGCACTTCTGGCTGAGGTGTTCTGGTGCGGGGCCATTCTGGCCGCCCTAGGTAGGATTTACAGACAATTTACGTAGAGAGTTGAAGATCCTTGTTTTATACTGTAGCACCCTAGCATTGTAAAATCCTAAATATTATTAAGAAATCATGTACTAGTATCTTTGGGGTGTTTTATTGCAAATAACTTGAAAATGTGAACATAAGATTTTTTATGACGTCACAGGTGCTACGTTGGCGGTAATTCTGGACTTGGAGCAGACGTTATCGATAACAATCTCGTCCTGTATCGCGGTATTCTATACTCTCTTTGGCGGTCTGTATTCCGTGGCCTACACCGACATCATGCAGTTGACCTGTATCTTTATTGGTCTTGTAAGTATACATGTATTCCATCAAACTGCCTAGATTCGGATTAATAACACTTATGGAAGATTTGTTGAGGAACTGGAATGTATGTACTAGAAATTTTAACAAGAATTTTTCGTATACATCTATTTATATAATGCTATACAACCAATGCTTTCAAGTAAAGGTCCTTTAACTGGCGTCCGAATTTCATAAATATTATGGATTCTGAAAATTACGCCAGACGATGGGCCAGATGTGAAAAAGAAGACGTTGACACTTTGTCACAATGGATTAAATGTATCAGATCCATGTTAAAGTCGCATTTTAAAAGACTGAGGGGCAATGTAAAAACCATCTATCCTTCTGTGTTCAATAATTCAGAAGTGAAAAAAAAAGAAATAGATAGATTACATGATCAGTACGTACTGGTCCCTGCCGACAAAGCAGGTAACCACATTGTCTTCGTTTGTAAGGCTCATTATATAAATTGTATTTTAGAAGAACTTGGATTTGATTCTACAAGTGGTAATCCTACTTATACTCATACTTCCCTTTCTAAGGAAGAAATTCTTCAAAATCACATGTCAGTTTTGAATATTTAATCTTCAACAGAGCCAAAATGAATTAGAACCACCCTATATATATTGGATTCCGAAACTTCATAAGATTCCTTACAAACAAAGATACATTGCTGGTTCTAGTAAATTTCAACCAAGCCTCTTTTGTTACTCCTCACTAAGATATTGACAGTAGTGATGAAAAAACGAGTACTGTGCAACAATATATTCAAGAAGTGGTGTGAATAAGATGTGGATACTAAAAAATTCCAAAGAACTTTTGGACAATTTGAAATCATAAGATGTTATCAAAATCAACAGCTTATAAACTTACGACTTTTCAACTTTATACACATCCATTCCCCACGATAAATTAAGGTTCATAAACCCTCTGCTCACTCATATAAAATGTTGCTTGAATCTTAATGGTTTTCCAAGAGAATTGTATTTTATAAGCACAATTCTGACAATTATAGCATAGCTTGCGGGGCAAAATTGGACATGAAAGACACTTCAACTTGGCAAATGTATAAAGGAATAATGGACATTTATGTCATTGAGAGTTATCTCTCTTTTATCAGAGTATCAGTGACCCTTAAAGTCCAGGCTTTTTGATATCATTGAGAGCTGCTTTTTCAATAAAAATGGAACTCGTAAATTTACTTACCTGGTCATTGGTCATTTGCAAAATTATTTTGTTAGAACATATTCTAATTGCACACACAAGTACTCTGAAGTTGACATCAAAAAGATGCTTGAGTTTCTGATTGACAATATATATGTGCTTTTTGGAGACCAGGTCTTCAAACAACCTATTGGAAATCCCATGGGTACCAATTGCGCACCGTTATAAGCAGACCTATTTTTTAATTCATATGAAGCAGAATTTGTGCAAAATCTTATGCGTGAAAAGAAGAAAACACTTGATGTGGCCTTCAACGCGACATTTAGATATATCGACGACGTATTGTCAATTAACGACATTATGGTAATTTCCATTCCTACGTGGATACGATATATCCTGGAGAGCTTGAGATAAAAGATACCACAGAGTCTGACATATCTGTTTCATACTTGGATATTTTACTTGAAAAGACGTTAATGGTAATCTAAAAACTAAGCTATTTGATAAACGTGATGATTTTAACTTTTCTATCGTCAACTTCCCTTACTTGTGCAGCAACATACCTTCATCACCTGCATACGGAGTATATATATCTTAGTTGATTCGATACGAAAGAGCATGCTCTACGTATGAACAATTTCTAAAACGGGGTAAATTAATGACAAGCAAGTACTTGAAACAAGAATATCGACAGTCTCGTTTAAAGTCATCATTTCGTTAGTTCTGTGGTCGATACAATGACTTTGTCAGCAAATACAATTTATCATTAAATCAAATGCTGACTGACGTTTTTCATATTAATTGCTAGTCCATTATTTATACATTGAATTGACGGTGGATTTTTCCTTTATTTCCCGATCATGACAAGGAGCACACGGCGGGTGTGACCGGTCTGCAGGGGATGTTCAAACCTCCTTGGCACCTGATCCCACCTCTGATGTTTCAGAGGTCTGTGTTTGCTCTGCTCCTATTTTGTTTTGTTATTGTACTTTGATATTAAATACTGTTCCTTATCTCCATATCCTTCTTATTATCGTCCCTTTCGAAGCGTTTTATTTTACTTATTTTAAAAATGTATCATTTGAAGCAGAAATATCATATTTAAAAACTTCTATAAGAGGAAAGGGCGTCTCTCGCTGAGATCTTCAATTCAACGTTTTATCAATTAAGCAAATTATTCATTCTTAATCCAAATATGTTTCAATATATTTCTTTGAACTCAAAACACCACAGAGTCTTACACATCAGTAGTAATCTAAAACAAAACTCGGATGATGGATGTGATGACTTTTCTTAAATTATGTCTTCCAGTTGACCCATACTCAAAACGACAAATTTTAAAACGCTATTTACCAACAAGTTGATGAAACAAGGATACCATCAATCTCGTTTGAAGTCATCATTTCACAAGTTCTTTGGTCGATAGAATGGCTTTATCATGAAATGTAATTTATCATTAGTTCAAATGCCGATTGAAATTTTTCATACTAATTGTTAGATCATTATTTACACAATGATTTGTCAACGTGTTTTCCCGCTATTTCCCGATCATGACAAGGAGCAAACAGAGGGGTGGCCGGTTGACAGAGGATGCTTACTCTTTCATGGCACCTAATCCCACCTCTGATTTTTAGGGGATGCTCCCGATTTGTATTGTGTTAGTTGACTTTGAGCTTGAATGCTTTTTTATAATCCTTACGTTGGATTGAAGTTGTCGACTTTGACCAGTAGCATTTTATTTTCATTAGGAAAAAAGGAAAAATGCACGTGTACTAAGTATTTCCTTCTTTCTTAACACAGTTAAGGGAATTAAGATAAATAAAATTCATTTAGCTACAATTAAACTTTTTTTTTATCATTCCTGATTTGGAGAAGTAACTTTTATGTCTCTGTGAATGATAAGAAATAAATTTTAGATTTGTAGATAGATTGCAATTTGTTTGACTTGTGATAAAGTTCGTGGTAAGAGACTGGACGGTTGAATATAATTGTATTTAATTTCCTAAACGTCTACAAAGAATCGATCTACAAAACTTAAATCTGAAAACACGGAATAAACGAGGTTCCCCCGAAAAGTCCACAAGTGGGGTCAGCTGCAATGGCGGAAAAATCATCATCTGTCAACCAGGTACACCTTCCGTTAGCCGTAAATTGATCAAATAGACGGGGCATTACTAAAACATATCTTTTAAACAAACAAAGGCCCAACAATCGGAAAGAAAGTTACCCATGTCCAGTCAACGGATAGGTTGTATTTGCAAAGAAGATCATTGGAATTTACAAGATGCTGACTTTCGATGTGGTTGTTGACTTTCTTGTTAAACTAACGTTATATGTGGTTGCTGGCATTCTTGTTACATCAACTTTACTGTGAGGAACCTGCCAAGGTTATAATGTTGATTATACTCAGAGCATGCTTAGTTTGGAGACAAGCAAAAGATAGAAGTACACATCTATATAAGAAAAATCGGTGATGAAAAACTGAAGTCATCTCGATTATCATATAATTTGTTGTTAGTTAGCCCTTATTGTCTACAATCAATAAACCATCCAATTATGATCTAATCTTCTTATGTAGAAATTTTTGGATAAATGTTGATTCAAAGAATATAAAAACAGGTCGGGTAATGAAGGAGCACAATTTTTGCCCATCGGAATCCAAACAGTTTTTTTTTCGGAAAACATCCTTTATAATCTTAAATTCATGAATCTCGATCCCGATGCATGGGAAATGATTCTTTTTTTTTTTTTTTATAAACGAATTCCACATTCCTAAGAGTTATCTCCCGTTGTCGGCGTAACGCTTATTTTCCCAACTTTGTCCTTTGTAAGTTACCTGTTAATATTTTTATTCCTCAAACGTTATATGATTTCTAACGAAGTGATTTTGCCCAGAATTAATCAAAAGCTAATGCAGAAATTTTACCTGTGGTTTATGTTAAATACGTTGTTATTGTTTCCTGATTGTAAGATAATAATAATAATACATTTTCTCTCTAAATTTCTATTAGTGGCTCAGTGTTCCATTTGCCATGACAAACACGCACGTCACCAGCATAACTAACAACTCCTCTACGGTGTGGATTAAGGACCTGGACCCTAAGTACATAGGCTACTACATAGACTCCTTCCTGTTGCTCATATTCGGTGGGATCCCCTGGCAAGCCTACTTCCAGCGGGTTTTATCGGCAAAGTCCGCATTCAACGCTCAGATTCTGTCTGTTATGGCGGGGTTTGGCTGTATCATCCTATCCATTCCTTCCATTTTAATTGGGGCCATCGCAGCCAACACAGGTTGATACTCTTTCAAGACTGTCAACAATTTTAAAATGGACTCTTTGTGTGGCAGAAGAAAATGATAAAATTTTGAAAATCACTTGACAATACAAGACTTTTACAGCTTAATTAGATTTTTGATTTTTTTGCTGTTAAAATATAGCGCATTACTATGCATGTAGTTTTCATTTTAAGGTGTTTATCTATCCTCAGCTTTATCATGTCGTTATGTATATTATATAGTCAGGAGAAATGAAGAACATTTTGAAGCTTTCTGAAGGTTCAATGTACTACCAATTTGAACAGTTTATTTTATCTTTTTACCATCACAGACTGGAATGCTACACGCTACGCAACAGAGGACAATAAGCCTGTGCCCATCCCACCGGAACTGGTCTCCAACATCCTACCCCTGGTGCTGCAGTACCTGACCCCCGTCTGGGTCTCCTTCTTCGGACTAGGTGCCGTGGCGGCGGCTGTTATGTCGTCTGCTGATTCCTCCATCCTTTCTGCCAGCTCCATGTTTGCTCGCAATGTGTACAAGATGATATTTCGTCCAAAGGTGAATCATACTATCATAACAATAACGAAATCTCTGTTTTGTATCCTCGGATAGATGATATATTGGATTGGCATAATTGTCAGGTTTTTCTGTACGTCTTGAATTCATATCTTTGCCATAACATTCGAACCACAATTTTTTAGCATGTGTCAAATTGTGCTTGATAATTATAAAATTGTGAAGAAAATGGAGTTATCGAACATGAACTTTTACTTTTTTTAAATTTTAAATTAAGTCCATGCTTCTAGTCTAAACTTATTTTATCTTTTTTTTTAATTTTTGAATTACATTTTTATTTACAGGCTTCTGAGAGAGAAGTTCTTTGGGCAATGAGGATTTCCATTTTCGGCATTGGTGCCTTGGCAACAGTAATCGCGGTTGTCGTAAAATCTATATACGTGCTTTGGTTCCTGTGCTCTGACCTCCTTTACGTCATAAGCTTTCCACAACTTTTGTCAGTTATTTATATCCCGAAGTGCAACACCTATGGATCTATTTGTGGTTATATAGTAGGGCTAATCCTTCGCCTCACAAGCGGAGAGTACACTCTAAATATTAATCCGGTCATCAAATACCCTTGGTACATCGAGTCGGAAGGACTTCAGCTGTTTCCGTATAAAACATTCTCCATGCTGGTTACATTTACTTGTATTGTCTCAGTTTCATATCTGATCAGATATATGTTTCAACGAGGGATTATTCCCATGAAGTTTGATATCTTTAAATGTTTTTCTGGAAAATTCGAAACGTCTGTCGACATCGTGGTCAAAGAAGGAAAGAATAACCCTTCCTTTGCGTCATCCGTTGACGACGTTAGAGACCGATACACGAAGCAGGAAACGGCAACTTAAAAACCTAAGCTTTTAAAGCAAACAATCTTCAACATGTTCAATGTATAACTGCAAGTGGTGATTTAAATGTATGCCAAGAATAATCTGTCTTTGAATGAAACGGCTACCTTGGGATTGGAGTTTTATGAAGAACTTACTTATACAATAGACGACTGACTTCTAGCATTTAAACAGAGACCAACTCCAATTACTAAAATGTAAACATCAGCTGTCGAATGTAAAAGTCTCTTCATAAAACTCCACTAATATACACTATATTTATATAAATGTAGTCCACAGTGCTTATACTTTATGACTTGCAATAATGTGATGATTACTATTTTTAATTGTGCATCACATAATTATAAACCAAGCTGAAATGTACAGGTATAATGAAAGACATATAAAAATAATCTTTTAAAAGAAATATTAGTGCTTTGTAAATGTTATAAACATAACGATATTTTGTGGATCCTGAATTGTTCCTCTTTGATCAATTCAGTTTTGGAAACTTGGAAGTGTATCTCTTCTTCTTTTTTTTTTTATTTACATTTCTCATTATGTTAAATATTTTCTTAACTGTGACATGATTTTTGTTCATATTTTATTAAATGGATGATTTAATAAAAACGAACACGAGATGTATGTAGAAGTAAGAGCTATTTAATGAATGGATCTAGATATTTGAATGAAAATTAGATTCCATTTACAAGATACGGCTTACCTTGCGTCGCCTTCAGCTGAACAACTAAGAAGCTGCAAAACTTACTTATTTCTTCTTTCAAGGCTGGAATTTCGTCTGTTTGCTTTTCTGTCTATCACCTCTGATATATGCATTTATTTGGTTAAGCTGAGATACTGGACAAAAGACCGGTTTATGTACTGTGTTACAAAATCTACATCGATATGGTTTATATAAATTTTGAGTTTTTTTAGATACTTAAAATCACCAAGGAATTTTTTGAAAAATAAAAATCCCAAAATTTAACCAAAATCAACATCATCAAACCTATGGCACTAAGCTTTCTGACAACAAGAAAGCTACAAAACTGTAGCTTTCCAAAGAAAAAAATTACTAGCATTGAAAAGAGTGTAGTGTATATTTATTGAGCACACAAAAGTGCTTTTCGATTTGTTCCGCCGTGGTTTTCAATAGTGCCATCTCAAAACATTACTGACCGTGTATTCATTACACATTCTTCTGCTTTTTTCTCAACAAAACAATTCTAGAAAGCCTTCCTCTGCTTGATATTAAAACCTAGAAAACACAGACACTGCCATTTAGGGCTGCAAGATAATTCGATAAAACTCGCTTCATGTAGTTATCAAATATGAGAGCAGTAGACAGGGATCCAAGGAACATTTTAAATCGACTTTTTACACAGTTGAGACAAGAATTTGGAAAAATTAATCCAGAATTGAGCGCAACTTTTTGTTTGCAATGAATATACATTTTTTTTTTACTGGTGGCACGGTATCTCCCTGGTTATTCATCCCAATTTTTCAGATCAGAGAACTACAGCTACAAAGAAAGCTGATTTCGAAATAAAAATGGAATGCGAACTTACCTTGTCATTTGCTTTCAAAAATTATTTAAAACATTCTGATTTTACAAACGAGTTTTCAGAAGTTTGATATTAAAACAAAATTCCGATTAACAACATCGATTTAGATTTTTCAAGTCACTCAAATGTATTAATTGTGTCCTATATCTATTTTGTTTTCATATAAAGCAAAATAAATCAAAAAATCAAAAACATGAAAAGCAATCTCTTGTGGTTTTTCTTTCGTTATGCAATATAAAAAGTTAAAGGTATGGAGCAGTGATCAACCTAAAGTAATCTTTAAACAATTCAAATCTATGAAAATAGCACAAACATTCACGTGGAATCAGATGACTAAGAGGAGTAATCATCCGCCGTGTGCTCTATGTATTGACCAGGTAAATGAAAGCTCTTTAGTTAAATTCAAAACAAAAGCCTAACAATTCGCATGAAACAGGTCTGCCAAACACGGTCCAAGCATAAGTTATATTTGCTAACTATGTAATAACGAATTTGATTTACGAAATGCTGACTTTAAACGAGATTAAACTTTAAGAGTACTGTGCAACAATATATTCGAGAAGTGGTGTGAATCAGATGTGGATACTCAAAAATTCCAAAGAACTTTTGGACAATTTGAAATCACAAGATTTTACCAAAATCAATAGCTTAAAAACTTAAAAACGACTTTTAAACTTTATACACAACCATTCCCCACGATAAATGAAAGTGGCTTTTTTATATCATTGACAGCTGCTTTTTCAATAAAAATGGAGCTCGTAAATTTACTTACCTTGTCATTGGTCATTTGCAAAATTATTTTGTTAAAACACATTCTGATTGCACACACAAGTACTCTGAAGTTGACATCAAAAAGATGCTTGAGTTTCTGATTGAAAATATCTATGTGGTTTTTCGAGACCAGGTATTTCAACAATCTATTGGAATTCCCATGGGTACCAATTGCGCTCTATTATTAGCAGACCTATTTTTGTATTCATATGAAGCAGAATTTGTGCAAAATCTTATGCGTAACAAGAGGTTGTTAGATACCATTAACGTCTTTTTCAAGTAGAATATCCAAGTATGAAACAGATATGTCAGACTCTCTGGTATCTTTTATCTCAAGCTCACCAGGATATATCGTACCGACGTAGGAATGGAAATTACCATTGTTTATTGACAATACGTCGTTGATATATCTAAGTGTCGAGTTGAAGGCCACAGCAAGTGTTTTCTTATTGTTACCCATAAGATTTTGCATAAATTCTGCTTCATATGAATATAAAAATAGGTCTGCTGACTACGGAGCGGAGTTAATACCCATGGGAATTCCAATAGATTGTTGGAATACGTGGTCTCCGAAAACCACATATATATTGTTAATCAGAAAATGATGAGTGTGATGTTGGGTATGATGAGTTAAAATTGTTATAACCTTACTACGTGCATCAGGAGACATTTACAACTCATTTTAGTATAATTTTAAGAGTTTTTCCTGACACTTTCTCTCAGGTACCCCTGAGATGTGTAAAGTCATCATCTAAAAATGAACCAAAAGAGAACGTGTCTACCCATCAACCCCAATGAATGGAAAACTATTGCCGATGGACCTTCCTCGCGATGACTGTCAAACCATATGCATTGTATCGATTCGCTCTAATTAATGACAAACATGAAGCATTTACTATGAAAGTATTAGGAAGGATTCATAGCAACACATTCAATCCCAGCTAATGAAAACCAAAGGGTCTCTGTCACTTTGTACTGTCAGATGACCCTATTGCCTTGAAGATCATGAAACGAATTTTTTCAAAGTTCAAATTTTTAAGAGGAAAAGAAAATTGACAACCACCACTGTTTGGGTGTCATGTCTGGAATTCTGGTTGACAGAAAACTATGTCTTGACTACAATTGAACCCCTTAATAGTTCTGTTGTGCTGACCCGTATTTGCTTAGACATTTAGAAGAACGTTGAGTATCCGAAAGCACAGTGCTTGTCCTTAATCATATCGAAGATCATACCCGTATTATTGACAAAAAAGTTGAAGAAAAAAGAATATCAACAGTCTTGTTTAAAGTCATTATTTCGTAAGTTCTCTTGTCAAAACAATGACTTTGTCAGCAAATTCACCCATCATTAAGTCAAAAGCTGACTGACATTTTTCATACAACTGAAAGACCATTATTTACACATCCTTGTGTCGACGGATTTTTCCGTTATTTCCCGATCAAATCAAGGAGCACACGGTCGGGTGTGACCGGTCGTTGGGGGCTGCTCACTCCACCTTGGAACCTGATCCCATGCACATCTAATACTTTGCCCCTGGTTTGTATGTTTGAATGGACTTTTGAGATTGAAAACTGTTCATTATCTCCATATCTTTCATCCGTTACATCATTTCTAGATTCTTGAGAGGTTACCAAATTATGGTTTAGGCAAGTGATACTTAGTTGTGGTCACCGCCTTCCGCTGAGCCGCCAGTTAAATCTAAACCGAGTATATATCAGGACCTTAGCTACTACACTCAAATACACAGGAAGAGTGTATTAGCAACGTAACTAATAATCTGAATAAATCACAAAAGTATTGAATGAAAACATTGTAAATGATTTTTATTGTAAAAGTGAATAAACTAAAATGTTATAGAATAGATCTAGAAATATTGAATAAATTTAAATAGCTCTTAACACATCTGCATGTATTTCTCATATATACCAATTATCTGAAAATAAGTCAACTTTTATAAGGATTTAATAAATAAGAGCGAGTCACTTGTATTTTAAAATAAGAAATGAAATAGTAACATTTGATTTCACAATGATTCCTCTTTACGTCGATATTTTTGAAAAATGTTATTGCTGGCGTCAATGTACAGAGAACCTTAATTACGATTACATTTTTTCCCAATGTCTTTTCCTTGCTTAGACGTAATACGTCTAAAAAATCTTCATCATTCGTGGTATTCTCGAACAAGAGCCGTGGGGCGTTGTAGCATTAACTTGATTGGTCGTAACCGTAGCTTAGCAATCACTAGTGAGACCGTCGCATTATAAGTCAGCACTATGGGATATTGTGGTTTGTCCTTTTACAGTGTCTGTGATGTGAATGGCATGATCTTTGATGGAAACGTGTTCAAACCTTGTTGAACCGTTCACTTATCTTGAAACAACCGTTTCGTTTGTTTTATAGCCAAAAATATCGTATTAGCATTACGATTTCATACGGTTTACAAAATCAGGGTGAACCGTTCCAATCCTTGTCTATTAACGTGACAGTGTGACCTAGGCTTTTGAAAGCAAAATTCCTTCTCAAGTATCGTTATTCCGAGCTTAGTGTTGTTTACAGACTTTAGCAAATTGATCACACCCGTAAAACGTACACAATTTTTGTAGACAGGGCACGAGCTCTTGTTATTGTTGATGTGAAGATTCACCTGGTGCGTTAAATCATTCAAGTCTACTCACCACAACTGCACACACTGACAATATATTGTGCATGTTTTGCTTTCGAGCATTTCTACTTTGAATTTTCTGGATTATAGTTTTAATTTTTTCATTTATACACAATAAGATTGCAACTTTTCTTAAAAGAATAAAATTAAAATTTGTGAAAGTGCAAGGATGTGTCAATCAAACCCGTCTGAAAATTTGAAGTTTTTATAACTTTCAGATTTTTAATTATTTTTGTGTGAAATGCTATTAAAATATATGTCATAATATTATACAGAATATATTAGCAGAAGTAATCTGTGTTCATGCAGCTTTAAATGGATTGCTGTAAATGTCATACCTACATTTGAATTGAAAGCAGCAGAAAATATGGTTTATTGAAGCCAAAATCTAAAAGGCATGCTTTTGTGTGACATATTTTTGTTACGATTTATTTTCCCTTCTTCCTTTTCTTATAAATCAAAATGTTTTTTAACGACCAAATAAAAATAAGGTATAGCAGAAAAATACAATAAAGTATCTTCACACCATTAAAGTGAATATAAGATGGCTCTTATAAACATATACATATATAAATTGGTCATAAAAATAGTGTTATCTACACCTCAGTGCGAGGTATTGGTTAATTAAAGAAGGAATCTGGACTAGCTGGCCTCAAATATGACGCCGAACGTGGAATAACTTTTGTCAAAATTATGTCTATCGAAAGTTATCTGTAGAGGGTTGGAAATTATAAAATTTAGGTACCTTTGTTCGAGGACACACGCCTTATATAAATAAGAGCAAGATTTTTTTTATGCAATTCTTTTTTTGATTAAATTGCTAAAAACTTAATATCTTCCAAAATTGGTGTAAAATATAAGAATAAACAAATTACGAATGGGTAATTGTGAACGACTGTTTTTTTTTTTTTTTACTGTAGATATATAATGACCATTAAGGTTTTTGTTGAATCTTGAAAACAAAATAAAAATGTACAAGTTTAGAATTAATTGACACTTATGCGGTAGCGCGGATAATACATTTTATCGAAGACTCTTATTAAAGGATTCGTAATTACCAGCTTAATCTAGGGAAAATAGCCCACAGAGAGAAAAAGCTACAAAAACTAACTAAATTAACTGAAGTAAAGGCTAGGAATGTATCGTAAAGCCCATGTATTACTGCATTAATGGTCCTACAGATCTTATTGTTCGATATTAAGCTACAGACGTTTTACAGCATCAAATAGGGTAAGAATGAGGAAAACGAAGAAATCAATTTGAGCATGTGCTAAATTCAAATTCACGAAACACTCTAACATTAATAATTTTAACACTTTCGACGTATATTTAACAGGATTACAGTTGAATTACAAGGGTTTACTCTTACTTCCTTTAATTATGCAGCAATATACCTTCATCACCTGCATACAGAGTTTATATTTTTCAGTTGATTCTATACGCTAGAGCACTCTCAGCGTTTGAACAATTTCTGTCAGGAGATACATATATGTAAGTTAATTGTCAAATAAAGTCATTATTTATACACTGAATTAACGACGTATTTTCCCGTCATTTGCCGACAGTCATACCAAGGATCACTCGGCTGTTGTGACCGGTCGGCAGGCGGTGATCACTCCTCCTTGGCACCTGATCCCACCTGTTAGGTTTAAGAAGTCCTTGTTTTCCCTGCAGAACAG